GTATATCTTTTTGTAGTAGGGTCACCATTTTTTCTTGTATACCGTATGACCTTAGCATTGCCCATATAACTTTGTGCTTAATTGTGTCGAATGCTTTTTGGAAGCCTATGAAGCAGTGGTTGCTTGAGTCTGTGCAGTAGCACGATTAGCAGTACTTTTCCTGTGTGGTTGATGAGGGATATCGCGTTCGGTAATTCGCACATTCGCTTAGATCTCTTTTCTTTGGTATTGGTACTAGTATAGATTTTCCCCATTCTTCAAAACTCACTCTGTAGCATTTCTGCTGCAATTCCATCTGATCCTGGACTTTTGTTCTTTTTCAGTGTGTGTATTGCTTCTTATACTTCGGAGTACAGGATGTATATTTTGTATTACTCCATTATAATTATAAGTCAAACTGTAACGGAAAAATAGTTAGGTCGCATCAATATTCTTCAAATAACTATCGAGATATACTATATAGAATTGCGTATATATCCTGATATAGGATAATGGACAACAAAGTGTAGATCAGTATCAGCTATATATTTTAGCCACTGTGTGCATAATATATTAACAACAATTCCACACGATCTTCTTGGAACTTGACTTGTTTAGAAGTGAACTCGACTCAACGGCCTTTCTACTGCTCTAATATTACTCGTCTTGTACTGCTGTCTATTTCACATATAACGCGAGTTGATATACTAGAGAGAGAAGATACATAGAGAGAAAAGGATATAGAGAAAGAAAAGGATACAGGGAACGATTACGTATTGTTCTTGAGGGTGATTATGTGTCGTCATATACAAGGATGTTCATTAGTTCTATGACTTATGAGTGGACATCCAGTGGTTTATATAACCTCTATCTAATCTCACCCTTTACGAGGGGCGTACTTCTTGGCACTTCTAGAAGTCAGAAATGTGCGATTTAAGTGAACGAAAAAGATTCTAGCAAAAATATTTTTTGATCATAGGAAAATAATACAACGCACGCATAATAAGCTCATATACGAAAAACATCGAAATTGTGCATTAAAAAATTTCTAATATTTATGTGCATGAGTCGCATATATAAGAAATAAATCGTTATCAGTGGCGTAGCCAGGGGTGGCATTAGGCAATTGCCCAATATATTTTTCAGGCAATAGGAATGGCCCAACATCGAAAAATATTGGTATATATGCATGTTTTAAAACTTAGATGATGTTATTTTAACGGTGATTGCTGTTGAAATATATTCAAATGATCGAGAGAAGTCAATTGACGATATTTTCCACCGAAGCGATCATCAAAATAATGACAATTCCATCATATTTTGACCTGAAAGAAACTTATATACCCTCACTTAAAGTTGGTGATAAAGATATAAGTGCATATTTATGAATCTTTCGAACGCAAACGACAGACTTAACTTAAACCGAATACTTGAACGGTATAAGTGTGAACAATACTTTCGCAATTTGATTAATAAAAATTCCAATTCGCAAAAGAAGATGTTAATGAGGGCCGTTTGAAAATTTCACTTAGTAATTACTAGTAAGAGTAATGGAATCCCATGTAAAAAAATTAAGGGTATAATCAGATTAAAATTGATGAAAATTAATTGAAGATTTTTTACGCATAACGGACAGAAATCAATTGAAATCGTTTTTTTTCATGAATTTTTAATCAATTTTAATCGAAATTAATCAATGAAATATCAGCCGTTAAAAAACTTACAAGGCTGAAAGGACTAGTTAGGAATAAAATATAGAGCAGCAGTCATCATTATGTGGTGAGAGATGATAAAGCTTAGACATAGAGAATTAATTTATGGAAAAGAGAACATTCGTAAACACGGTCATTTCTAATAGGGTAGTGACAAATTTCCTTGAAACAACATAGATTTGGAGGTAGTAATAAACGTTTGACAACTTCCAGTTGCGGCCCAATTGATTTTTAATTGCTCAATACCGCCTATCTCTCAAAATAATTTAGCTGGGAAGTGGCCCATCACTCAAAAAATCCTAGCTACGCCACTGAACTGATATATATATGAAAAGTGGTTAAAAATTCATGAAAATATATCTGATAGGTTTTAACCTAAGAAAATTTTACAGGACAAAAGGAAAAGTTTAAAATACGAAATTATTTAGGTGACAGTTTTAGCAAATCTTCAAAACAACATATCAATAGCTGATACTTTTGTTGCATTATAATGAAGAAATCGTTTTATTATTTTCAGTAAAATTATTGAAGAAAATATTCTGATGATATATATGTTGCAATTGAGTATTCAAAATCTTTTGAACAAATGAATTACGTGATATGTTTCCGAAAAACAATGAGGTACGAATTACAATTGTTGTCTTTGGATGAAAAGTACAAGAAATCAGAATACATATAGAGATAATCACATTGACGAACGTGCCAAAGAGCACGTCTTGAGGGTGTGGGTGTGAGCTGATCAAGAGTTAAATACGCACCGACACCCAAACTAATCTGTCTCGAAGGTAACGAAAGCAGCCGAGAATGAGTTGGTCTTTTCCTCTAATTGACTTTCTAAATAATAATAAAAATATTTATGCTATATATGAAAAATTTTCCATTTGAAAATGGTTAATTGTTAGCGTCATTGGATGGTACTTTATATATATTACAACGGAACGATTCTGTTGGCTATAACGTATCACAATGCTCATAATAAACATTTTTATTTCAGAAACTTTTTCGACTTCATTTGATGTTAATTGCATAAACTACTTATTTCTAAAAATAGATCACAGCTCCTTGGTCTATTGTTAACATTATTTTAACAAAAATCTCTTTCTGTACTATTAATTAGAACATTCTTGCTTTTTTATTGTAATTTTATTTCGATTTTTTTCTGAAGTGTATGCACAGACCGATAGCACATTGTCACTTGTAACAATGTACCACCCAATGCCGATTTTCAATCATCGTTCTTTACTATTTCCATCTCTGTTTCAACGTATTAATTCTATGTAAATCAATCTCCTTTAGTTCATATTTTATTTAAATAACAAATGAATAATAATCAGTGTATTTTTGGCACGAGGAAAATAGTCTTTCATACACCCAGGAAATTGTAATTTTCTACACAAATATACGTAATTCATTTTGACACAACTACCTCGTATTGTATTTCTTCGAAACTTGTGTGTGTCACTTTTTTCGATAGTTCATATTGCATAGAAACAAGAACATCAAATGGTAGACATGTTTTGGTATCTAATAAGAATTGTTCATGATAATCTCTGTAAGTATGAATAAGATCAAGTTCTTTGAGATAAAAGATATTTAATGATTGAGCAATTCGAAGAAAAAATTCATGTTCAAAAGGATGTTCGTCGAACAATGATACTTTACGAATAGCTAGATGAAGTATTTCTAAATTCAACATTCTATGTAAAAGTAGTAAAATTATTTCATCATAAACACATGTTTCTATATCACTTCTAGAAAAAACAAAAGTCAATATTATTAATTCAATTAAATTAGATATTATGTGAAATGAAAGAAATATTAGCAGAAAATGTATGAAGTTGATTGGACATGTAATTTTAACAGATTTGTAGAGATAATAGTTAAAGGTGAAGTGAAAAATGATAATCGTTGAAACGTTTCATGTAAACAATGAAATCATTAAAACTGAGTAAAAAAAATATTTTATTAGATTTTATTTTTCAATAACGCTGTAGTTTACATATGTGACTTTCCTCTTTCGTCTTACTTAATTGATTATATAGCATGATAAATGTTATATTATATCAGTCATTAATCCTTATAATCTATTTGTTTTAAAGTTTATATTGACGACAATATCGATGCATTTTACTTTTATTTCGTTTTATATAAATACTTATGTTTCGTGGAAAATGATTTATTTAGTGACAACTTTTTTTATCCTTATACTAATAAATACAAATCAAATACAAAATTATTTCAAAACTTAAAAGCCTGTAATCATGAATTTTCTTGGCTTATANAAAAACAAATTCTAGTTAATAGCTTTTATTTTCAATTCAAATAAAAATGATCAAAGTATTCCCTTTGCTTGCTATGTTTTAGAAAACGGTCTATAGAAAATATTTGTTTTTAAATTTGATTGATGATGACAAATGATGCACATTCATAATGCATTTATTCGAGATATCCTTCACGTTCTATAACAAAAATAGAACAATTATTTTCAATTGCAATTATAAAAAAAAAGAGAAACATACCAAGAATAAAATACAAACACATACCAATTAGGGCAAGTAATAAGATAAACCCAAAAATAATAAATATCCATGCCCAACATGGACAATCAGCATTCAATGCTAAAGCTCGAACGAGACTGAATGAAGTGGAAGGAGGTGCGGTCGATGATGTTGTTGTATACACTGTTGTTTCCGGTTCAGGATAGACCTATAATGTTTCTATTAATTTTATAAATGCCTATGCGTCTAGCTACTTACTGTATACATATCTCGTGTATTGGCTAACGGAGGCGGCTTACGATCGGGCATAAAAACAGTTTCTTTGACAACTGGTCGATGGATAACCTGACAGCAAAGTTAATGAAAATACTTTTCGTGAAATATCTTATAGCATACCTCAACAGGCCGTTCAAAAGGTATATCACGCTTGTAATAGATTGCTTCGTCTAAAAGTTCCGTTTTACCAGGCTTACGTATCTGTACAAATTATAATTAATTTCGAGTTAAAATAATAATTAATATTTCTTACATAATAATTTGGGTTTAGAGCTTGTGAAAAACCACTTGAGATCGGCATGTTTTATCAAATCTTACAAATTGCTTGTTAAATTATGCCAAGTCAAACGAGAAAAGAAGCTGTCAACCTTTTTTTCTTTTTCGTTTTGTAAATCAATCGTACTCATTTCTCTTGTCCTTAACATATGTTGTAACATAAGATAGAACTGACGAATGCCGAGTCCCCACAAATGATTGTGTATATGTACATCTCAAATATCTCAAACATATTTTATCATAAAAAAAATACAAAAGAATATTTGCTTTTTATTCAAGTTTAAAAATGATTGACGACATTTTATTATAGCATTGCGAGATTGAGTGGCAAGGTTAAACTATCAAAAAAAAAATCAAGTAAAAAAATCCTTTGATAAACGTTGAACCCTTCAACCGATATCAAATGAAAGTTCTCATATGAAATTTTGTTGCCGGTATAATAAATCAGTTATTCAATCAATCGGTATAAAATATCAAACTCTTCTACACGTCAAATTATTAGCGCATTGTCTGGATATGTAATGTAATAGACAATGAAGTTATTGAAAAGACAACAAAGGCTAACTTATATGAGAACAGAACCACGATTTCTAAATTTATGTATAGAATTATTTATCAAACGGTAGTGTGATGGCTTATCGAGATTATCTCTTGTCGAAGAGTTGTTTAAAAACTCAAGCAGTGAAGCAAATATAGACACATACACAGTATATGCTAAGATAAGCAAAAATATGTCGAAGTAAAACCATACACTTGACTGTTCTGCAGGAACAAACTCACACAGCAAGGACACATTTTAATCACTTAAATTTAAAATTTCTTTCACATAGTATTTCAAAGAACGAAAAGATCTAGTACAAATTAGTTAGGTAATTTTTCGACGAAATACGATAGTTTAGTCATTTTATGTATTGTTTATCAATTCTGCTTTTAGAACACATATATATATATATATATATATATATTATTAATCATATTGTAAGTTCGGTTCTTTGTTATGCAAATAGTCAAAATTATAAATTTCATATACGAATAATATGAAAAAGAAATGTAAACATTGATAAAAATATGTTTAAAACAATAGTGTAACTGCTGGCAGATATTTGACCTCTTTGCAGTAGCTCAAGAATCACATCAGGATTATCAGTTATAAAACCATCCACTTGTGCTTCATGCCAAAAATATTCCACTAGCTGTTCGAAACTACTACCTAGAAATAGATCTTTTCGAAATGTATACGGATAAACACTTAGACCATATTGATGAGCCCATTTTGTGAAATTACTAGTGCTAATAATTGTCCCGTTCCCATCATAGTTCACAACAAATTGATGATCGGGTGCTAATCCTTGCACAACTTTTGATAGATTTCTGATACCTTGTTCACTTCGATAAAAATCATAATCACTTGATGATTCTCCAACATAGTTCCATGTCATTAAAGCAAATAATCGCAGTTGACTGCTAAGATTTTTACGAATATTCATAAGTTCTTCAATATGAAATGTTTGTAGTATAATCGGATCAGTTGATTGTGTTAAATTATATGATTTTAATGTAGCAACTACAATAGATGATATAGATTTATTATATTTTGAATGATATTCAGGTTTTTTTATTTCAATAAGTAATTGGCGTTGACGACCTGTTGCACGATTAAGATTTAATAATAATTCAATGGTTTCATTGAGAGTGGACAGATGAAAAGGTACATTTGATTTTGAAGGGAAACGCAATGGAAAAACTTGTGTACCATTCAATGGACGAACGCGTTCGTGAACATTCAAACTACGCAATTCATGTAGATCAAAATCAATCACATAATGAAAACCATCTGAACGACTTCGATTTTTAAAAACATCAGCGACATTTGTTACTCCATCCAAATTGATATCTATAAAGACAATACAATCATAGTTACATTAATATAAGTATCATAATCACCGTGAATGACAATCAAGTGGTTATCTCGACTTAGGCATACATCGATTTCAATAATATCGGCACCGTAAGCATGAGCCATGGATTGCGAAGCCAATGTAAGCTCAGGCAAATAAGCTGTACCCCGATGTCCAATAACAAGTGGACGTTGAGAGCCATGACAAAGTTCGAATGCAAAGAGAACTAATAGAAAGCTTAACATGATTACGTGCTATGTTATAAAATATAAATTGTTGCACTGAATATACTATTATATTTATATGCATTGAAATACATGGCTGGATGTTATTTATGATAGAATAGTGAAGAATAAATATTTACAATGCAAATTTTACATAATCCCTTGAAAATAATGTAGCATTGTTGTCACATGGATTGTAATTTTGCTTAACTAACATTATCACATTGAGAGATATACATGAAATTATTTTTCAAGTAATTTTGATATCTTTTTGTGTACTCAAAAAAAGTGAGTACACTCTGGATTCGGTCAGTGTGCCCGTCCGGACCGTTAACACGATAACTCTTGAAAGACTCATCCAATTGCCAGTATTGACCAGGCCATCTCTGAGAGGGGGGGGGGGGGTACGGGGTTTTTTCGAAGAAAAATTTTTTTTCTTAGAATTATTCACAACATATACAAATCGACTCAGTTTTTGCAGTACATATAACAATCTGATGCGAATTCGATGTTTCCTCATTTTTTTCTTCTGAGAAAAAATGTTCTATTAAATAGATTTAGAAAACTTTGATCTATAAAAATAAAGTGAATTGCTTTATCAGCTTGATTGTAAATAGAACATCGGTTTTAAATTGGTCCATAAAATATTCGAGTGCAGCATAAAATTTCCTAAGTGGCAATCGATTAAAGTCTCAGTTGTATACGTATTGAAGAAAAGAAAAATAATATTTTCTAGCATTTGAAGAACATGATTGCAGCTGTTCGTATTATTCAAATCAATCAATAATGTACATCATACAATTGTGATTTAGATCATTAAAAAAACAGATACGAATGTTATCTTGAAGTAGCTTGTTTTTCGTAATCAGATAAAAATAATCACTTATACACATAGCACCTGTATCTATATTATCAATTGTTATACACACCTTTCTTTCTAGTTAGTTTACAATCAAAATTCTTTGAATCAGTACAATTTGTTAGAATTGTTATGCGTGTAGCTATTCAATGTCGTTCACTTTGTAAAACCTCATTGTAGTGTAACGCCATCCTTCGTGTGAAACTTATTTTTCATAAATATAAAATACTTAAATCAATATAACTTTGGAAAGAATAAATTTCTATTACAAAAATATTTTCTGGCGTTATATTCTTATAAAAGTCAGATGTCGCTTTACTACATACAATCGATATATGATTCGCATATTGCTCACCGTACTGTAAATTTCACCAGGTCACGAGCTATACGGAACGGAACACGCTGTTGTTTTTATTCCATATTTAATTCAAATAGCATTAGCATTGTCTCTCTTTACTTTCTTTTATTAGATATTGAACGCGCTTGATACTTATTAAATATTTTTTAATTATGTTAAAGCTTTGCTTATTTACTGTTTTCTTGTTATTATCACCAATATTTGGTCTATTAGAAAGTCTATTTCAAAGTCAAAATGATTGCTATTCAAAATGCGACTTAAATCATGCTGTTGGTTTATCAAATTCGGATGCTTGTAAAAAAGGTTTGTTGATTCTACTCGTAAAATAGAAACTATAAACGAATTGTTTTTTTCTTTGCTCAGGCTGTGATTATAAATTACACGGTGAAAATTGTGCAGTTCAATGTAAATTACTTGCCATCGATGAAAGAAATCAAGCTAGCTGTTTTGATGGCTGTTCATCGAGTAATTTAGTAAGAGACAAAAAGTTAACTTATGAGATTGAAAACTTAAAAACATAATTTTAGCTAAAACCTGTTCCTGTTGAGAATGTACCTTCACGATCTATCATACTTATACGTCTTCGTCAACGTCCATTAGCCGAATCTTCGTTGTTGAATGGCGATTCAATGCGAATGTTTATGGATATGATAAGAAAAATAAAAGAGAATAGAAATTTCGTTAAGCAATCAAACGATATCAATACTGATTCGCTAAATACTGAAAATACATATAAAATGACACGTTTAATTATTTATCGAAAAGATAAAACGCCATCGACAAATAATCGATTTAAACAATATCTTAATGATGTTCATAGTAAATGGAATGATCTCATTCGTAAACAACCTGAAATTCCTGCATGGATCTGTTTTTGTTTTTTACTTTTCTCATCAGCATTTCTTTTGTGTAAGTATTTCATTCTTTGATATAACGATTTAATTTTCTTGGTTTTATATAGATATGATTGTATCACTTTATTTTCATACACCGAGACATCACACACTATCAATTCATGCTGAAAAACTTGCTACTGAAAATATATATGAAAAAGAAAAATTTCCATCAAATGAACAAGAATATCAATATAAAGAATCTGTACCAATTAAATTTTAGTTGGCCAGTATTTAAAAAGAAGATATTATTGAAACTTATGGCATCGAAGTCTTGACATTTTATTTCACTGATCTTTTGACAACTGAAAATTACTAACAGCTTCTGGTTCTTATCAATTATTCTTTAGTGATCGAAGAAGAGGTGAATATTTTTTTGTCAAAATTTTGATCCTATAAGTTATTTAGTGCGTATAAAAGTTGTTCGAAAACACGATATTTATTTAAAATGTATTGTTCATTCCAAGTTTAGCTTGTCTCATATAGCTAGAATGTATTCAACTTTTTTTTCTCTATTCCTTGAACTATTGTGAACTTGTTACATTCTCTTATCTCTTATCTCATTTTTTTGTTCTCATAATAAACTTTTTTTTTGAAAAGAAACATTAGAAATTTACTCCTTGGAATTAGAAATACATTCATGGAGCTACTTCTATTTGGATACATTTTTCAACATTACTCTTTACGTCAAAGACATAAATATAATGGATTCACATTTTACTCTCGGAGCAGTTTACAATGATAAGTTTTCTTATCGTCAGAAAATTTTAAGATAGAAGAAAAGAAAATGATTCTTCTTAACATAACTATCTCTCTAGATGATAACTTGAGGGAATATAAATACTCAACAATCGTATCCTTTGATAGATTATTTACTATTGTCTTATCGATATCAATTATAATGTTCACACTAGATGATTATGTTTATTTAGAGCAATTGTAAAAAATAATAATTAATAAAATATGGAAATAAATAGTAGAAAAAATGCAAATTCGTACGTAAATGTCAAGTTTGCGAATAATTGTTGTCTATAAGTAGAAAATAGAATAAAATTTGATACATATTTTTGTCGGCGCATATGAGCAACATGAATTGATAATGCATGATTAATTATCTGACTTCACACAAAAAGAAAACTTTATGGAATAGCATGAGCAATCCACGATAACCATAGACTTACGCAAATGTTTTTAAGCTTTACTAGACACTTCCATATGAAATGTGTCTGATATATTTGCCGCTGAAAGAAAACAGAAATATTTTCATTTGTTAGAATAAAAGATGAATTCAACTTACACTCGATAGTGGCTTCGGCTTCATGACGATCTCGAACAATAAAAATCGCCGCAAAAAGAAAAGCGATACCACCAACACCGGCAACAATGGGTGTTAACATGAAAGCATATCGTAATGATTTCCATAGAACATCATCATGACGTACACCTTTCGAAAAGAAATCACTGATAAGACCAATTATATATGGACTAGATGCATCGCCCTATTGTATGAAACAAAATGAATCTATGATAAACTTAGAGATTTTTGTTTGAAACAAACAAATAAATGTAAAATGAATATTTGCATAGAACTTGCTGTAGCACGTCTTGATGGAACGATAATATACTATGAAAAACAAACAAAGCTAGGTTATAGATTAGAATAAAAATTTTAGATCGAACAAACCATAAGCATGTCTGATATGATTGCCCAATTACTAGAAAGTAATGTTTCCGCAATAAAAATGCTAATCCATGTTAAAATTAAATTATCCTTAGAATAGATCAGTGCAACGAATAGAAATGGTACGGATATGAGAACGGCAACGCCACAAACAATAGGATCACCACGTTGATTTCGTTTACGATACCTCAAATATTAAAACGAAAATTATCCTATCTTTATAATTCTTGAACGAATCAAAATTATACTAAGAAATTAACATTCAATTTTCTCATAGATATCACGTCAACACATGTTAATAAGTAAACATACCATCTAGCTATTTCACTTCCCATTACTACACCAAGAACTCCAGCAAAACAAGTTATCATACCAAAATAGAGGCTAACACTAATAAAACAAAAAAACAGAACAAAGTAATAACAGTAATATTTTATGATGATGAAAAATGTTTTACTTGGCTTTAGTTTTATCACTTATAACTGTATAATGCAGAGTATAAGCTAGCTGAAGAAATCTCGGTGCCCACCAAGAGAGTGCACCTAATGCAAATGCTACCCATGTAAATCCAAGTGTTGTTAAAATAAAACTTTTTCTAAATGAAAAAGAAATTAATATGATTTTTCTATTAAAATTTCCTGCTTACACTCGAAAAATTTTTCGAACATCAGAAAACCAATCATCTCTTTTTAAAACTTGAGCTCCGTCAGCACCGCCTCGTACTGGTTCTCTAACAAGAATAACAAGTAATATAACACAAATGATACCAAGCACAGGTGTAATCTAGTTAAATCAAACTATATACTTATTGATTAAAGCAAAGGCATCTTTACTCTTAAAGCCCAACGCCAATTACCATTGAATGCGATTGAAACATATGCACCGACAATATAGCCCAGACCACTATATATGAATGGTTTTATTCAATAGATTTTTGGTGAAATTATTTATTTTACCCGCCCACTGGAATAGCGATATTAAAGAGAGCTAACATTCGTGTTCTCATATCATGCTTATACATGTCAGCAATGATTGTTGGTGCAACACATGAATATGAAGCTTCGCCAATACCAACTAAACCACGTAATACAGCAAAAACTGCAAATAACTTCGAAACAAAAAAATATTTGCTAATGAAAGCGATTCATTTGTAAAATCTTGTATGGAACATTTTTCTATCATACAAAATGAACTAATTTTCTTCTTCAACTAACGCTATATTTCTATCTAGTATCTTAGGAAATTACAAAGTTCTATCTCTCTTCTATACTTTTATCAATAGATTCTTATATTGAATAATTCTATGATAAAGATACTAAACTAGCTCTGATTGGAACTAGTTGCTAATGGCAACAATTAGTTTTGGTCTCCCATGGTTTCAACCGTACTTTAGCTACCACAAAATGTAATTATTCAAAGTCAAAATTTTAAGTTGAGGAGATATTAATAGGGCTGGCCATTTCTCTTTTTTTCAGATATCTTCTTAAGAATTGCTGATAGTGGAGCTGATATATAGAAGGTTTAACTGCATTGAGTACTCATTTACAGATGTTATATACGTATATATGCACTCATAGTTGAACTACTACGTACCATAAGTGGCCTTGCACTTTTATGCTAAGGATGGTTGTGCTGCACAACCATTCTGAATTTCAATGTCGATAAAGAATTTAAGTTGTTTCAAAACCATTAAAGGCTAATATTATACAAGATTATCAGTACTCTGATTCTCTTATTCCATGTTGTAGTTTTCATACGACTCCAAATAAGTCAGAATATATATCTAAAAGATCGCTAGTTTTTAGTTTTAAAGTGTTTTGTTTAATATTGTCTAGATAGTTTATACATGGGAATCGAAGTTTAATGTTGCTGAAAAGTGGAAGCAGTATTCCGGTCGAGAGTTGTCGAATTATTTTCCTGTGGATTCCGGTCAGTTTCCTGTGATTTTCCGCTGAAAGTTGACGGGAATACTGCTTCCACTTTCCAGCACTTTTCCGACCAGATTTGAACAATTTTCAAACACATACTATGTGAAAAGTGCCCTTTTTTAAGAGTCAGAGTAATAGATCAAGTAAAGAATTAAAATTAGAATCGGGAAGAGTACTAGTCATCGATGAATATAAACACTGAAAATTTCACTACTATCGTATTACATAACTATAAGAACTAATTTTCATTTACAATAATATCATTTACGTCTGTGCTTTGTGTCAACAACACAATTCGTCACCGTTGCATCCCTATATGGCAACATGCTCCAACCAGCAATACATATTGGAGTAAATGAATGCATCTACCAACAATATATAATCTTGTAAACAACGAATAAACATGGAGTTGCTATTCTTTTATATAAAAATATTGAGTTAGCTTTGTTCTTATGTATCAACTATTTGCATTTAAATAAAATATTTAGCTAATATTAAACATGGTTACACGCTACTTCTCATCAGTTATATACATGAAACGGAAGAAAAAACTTACATTTTTTGGTACAAATGATCCAGCCAAAGTAGTTACAGACCAAACACTAACCCCCACAGTAATTAACATTTTTCGACTATATCGATCTCTGTAGATAAAGAAAATTTTCTAGGAGATTTTTCGAGATTCTATTCAATTCACCCTAGATAGCCAAAGAGTGGCGCTAGAGCCATGTAACTACAAACGAATACTGTTTGAAGAAGACCTCCTTGCGAATCCGAAATTTTGAAATCCAGTATAATTTTGTCTAGGACACCTACATATCAATGAATAAATTTGCTAGAGAATATTTTCATAATATTATTATGAATACCTGCAATAATAAATCTATCCATATAATTTAATAGATTGATACATAATAGAATGATCATAGTAATGGCATTTTTGTATTTTTCTCGTTTACTTTTTCCACCCGAATAACTGACCTAAAATTTAATAAAAATATAAAAACTAAAGTTTTCATTTAAATTCAACGTACACTATATTCAATTTCAGGTTCGATGACTGGTATTAAATCAGACACATCAAGAGACATATTCAACAGTCTAGTACTAAAAATATAAAATTATAATGTATCTACGTCATCGTTGATAGTTTATATTTAGCTTACTCGTCAAACAAAATATTTGTTCGTTCTTCTTTTATTTATTCAGTAATACCGTGCAATGTATTACAATTTAACAACGACAGAAGCATGTTTTAACGAGTGTCAACTAGTGACATCTGAACACGATGAAACATAAATTTTTGTTTACACAGTTTCAACAGAGCATGTTAAACAGTGTTGAAGAATTCTTATAAAAGCAAAAGAATAATAACACATGATCAAAATCTATTGATTCGGCTGCTGTAATGATTTAACATTATGAATATCTATATAACTCTAAAGTCAACCGATGACAATTTTTAAGAATAAGCGGTATCTGCATGAATTTTTTTTTAAAGTTTTCTAAATCAAATACGACGATCTTCATTTAATGATTTGAAGAAACTCTAGTCAGAGTTCAAAATTCGTGATATGATATTCAGTCATTCGAAATGATTTTTTCGAATTTTTTGACTATTTTATCTCGTATACTATATGTCTATGCTTTCATACGTATGTAGATGTTCTCTTTCTCTTATTTAAAAAATGATCATATTACTTTCAAACGTGCCACATTCATTCTTGACAGTATATATTACAGATTTATTTATAAATTCAATAACATAAACAAATCGTATGCATTGACAAGGCACTTATTGAACAATAAAAATGAAAAGCTAATAAGAAAAAGAAAACAACACAATGATTATATAAACACGCAAGTATAGTATAAAACTAACGGAAGATAATGGACAAAAAGATCTGACAGAATGAATATCTAAATGATTCCATGAGAAAATTTCCACTCACAACATAATGATTATATAGAAATATTCATAAAGAAGAAAAGAAAAGAAAAGAAACAACCAAACGATATGATAGTCTACCCAAATATATTGATATTCAAAAGAAATCTTTTTTTTCTATTGATTAAGCTTTGATATTTCAAGTTCTTCACGTATGGCTTCTTCATAATCATGTAATTTTCGACCGTCTTTTATATGAGAATAATTAGCCACTAGACAACAAAGAAAATGAATCTGAAATAAAACAATAATGAAATCAAATTTTTCCAATTATCAATTTCTTACCAAACCCATTACAACAATAAATGCACCGATTAAGCCTGCCCAAAATTTTGGTGCATGTTCCGTCTAGATTTAAAATAAGATAAGAAACAACGTATATATGAATATTTTTTCTATGATTTCTTACCAATGTACATAATTCACTAAATTTTTGTTGACAAACTTTTGCATCAGGTTTATGTTTAGGCACAGGTATTCCATAGGTTCCAGGCGTTAAACAAGCTACTGGTGATGCTGTATTTGGCCAACCAGATGCTGTTGGTATAACCCATGTTTCAAGACAACGATATTTTAATATATATAAACCAATACATGGTATCATCATAGCTATCAAAATAATTAGCCACATTAATAGTAGAACATAGACAGTAAATGTAAACTATAAAAAGGGAGAGAAAAAGAATTATTTTTTATGAATGATAGTTTTTCTTTTGACATGTATTTTATTTACAAATCCTGTTGCGATTCGACCACCAAGTCGAGAACGAAATCCAGTATAAACTCTATGACGTGTAGCACCAGTAGCTAACGATCCAACAATAAGTAAGATTAATGAAAAACTTCCCATGATTGCAAGAATAAAAATAAAAGTTGAACGTAATATATTAATCCTTTGAAAAGAAGATTAAGTATTTTAAATTTTAAATAAGTTTTTATTCATACCATTCATCGTCAATATATTCAACATCGAAAGCTACATTTATTTGTTCAATCGATAGTGGTACTGGAGTGTAAAGACAACCACAAAAGATACCTGTACCCACTATTGTTATAACAGCTGCAAGTAATGATGCAAATGGACAACTGCCACAACAACGTAGAAAACCTATATTGTTTTTATGCATTATTAAAAAAAAAGAATCAAATATGAACATACTGCTTTGTTCATATCTCATTTCTGATAATGTCCGATGAGACCAAAGTTCTCGACTACGATCGGCAAAGCGATCAATGTCGCCTGAAAGAAAGAAATTATTTACACAAACTGTTTGAAAATGCATTCAATAACATACGATCATCAAGCATCATATCGATGAAGTGTCAACGTGTACAACAGACACAACACGAACGAACGAAAGAAGTGTGAAGCAGAAAAGATTGACCGCGAATGAATAAATAAGAAAACAAAAGTTTTCATTGATCAAATTTTTTAACCAATAAGATTCTTTGAAATTTATTGTGGAAAACAAAAGCCAGAAGAAGAAAAAAAAACACTGTAGGTTTTTTCATTTAGTTTTATATAGAAAACCGTATAATGAATAATGATGAAATTGTTTCGGATGTTATCACATTAATCCATTCAACAACACAATCAAGTTATGTTATTTGTTCACAACTTTCATCAAAACTATTTTCATATTTATCACAGATTCATTTAAAAGATGATCAATGGAATGAATTAAAAGAAGCTATTGAAGTAAGAATTAAAATTCTATTGAATAAAGCAAAAATTGAATTTTTGTTTTGTTTTGTTTTATTTAGCGTTTTGATCGAAGTATTGATCATCCGGATGTTCATCAGTTTCGACAATTGATTGAAACAATAAGTGCTTGTTCAAATGATTGTGAAGAACGAAATTATACTCTAGGACGTGATAGAAATACACTTAATGATTCGATTAGACAACTACGAGATTTATTAGTAAGAAAATTAAAAAAAAAACAATGATATTCCTTAGGCCGTGTTTTATATTGATTTTCTTTTCCTTTGTCACAGTTTAGCATTCCGGAAGGAAGGATCGAGTCATCTAACGAATACCCATAATCAATCTCTCGCCTAAAATAAATGTTACTCCTTTTTTTCTCTATTCTCGAGACAATATTCGTTTGATTTCGTATTTATATTACAGATTCCCCATAGCATAAGAGTCTAAGTATAAAATATTGATTGATCTTTCGAACACTGACAGATCATTGCTTAGAATGTATCTCTTTGAAAAACTGCTGTCAAAATATAGAAATTTCTCTGAGATAAATAGCCAGATTTCTAAAATACAATATATCACAAGAAGATTTTTATGGCAACTGAACATTTGCAAAATATTCCCAGAGATTCAATTCATATGTAAGCCATTAGATTTAATCAATGATAGAAAAGAGTCAGTAGCAAAAAAAAAATGTCTTCTCAAAAACATCTTTACTATTAGAAACAAAAAAATACAGTGTTAGTAGAGATCTGAAGACAATAGGATCAGACGAAAATTAAATTTATTCGTTTTAATCAAGAGAATATATATTTCCATGGTTCTCTTTTCAGAAATCTCATGTTGACCTTCGTTGTTTTTTACTAACTAAATTAATTGAACAACAAACTATTCGTTTATATTTGATTGATGTTATGAATTTAGCTGGCATGGTTTGTATTATTGATTCAAAAAAAAAGCAAAATAAAAATATCTTATTTTGACTAGAATGTTGGAAATCAAACTCATGGTAATCTATTTGATATTGTTCGACTGCTATGTCAAATTGATCCAACATTTCCTACATCAAGTGTCATTGATCATCCAATTCTATTAAATTGTATTCAAGTTATTGAAACAAATGTCAACAGTATTAATTCAAAAGGTGGTTAAAAAAGTACTTGTGTATGTAAATACTATTTAAAAATTTAAATTTAAAAAGTCTTAAATTAGATGCATTCACATGAGCTTACTTTCAGTAGAAGCACATGCACATGAGAACTGCATCACATGATTTCTATTTTTTGAAATATTAAAAGTAATCGTCGAATCATTTTCCTATATTGAATTATGTGAAACTTAGTGTCACACGCATACGAGCTACTACTAACGTCAAGAGTTATTTAAGTAATTTTTATGCTACGTTTAGTGATGCAAAAAGGACTTTTTATCTGTGAAATTATTAATTAATTATTTTATTGAATCAATTGATAACGTCTAAAACTTTAGATGACAATATTAAATCAACGGTGATATCTGCTCTACATCTTCTAACAAACATTCTTCTAAAAAACGAACCATTTCCCATGCAGACTAATAGTAAGTACTTACTTTTGCTTGTTGTTCTAAGAACTTGCCTATCATTTAGGTCAATTATCGAATGCTAACTTTTTAACATGTATGTTTCAATTGATTGAAAATAATTATAATGATGATGAATTAGTTATGACAACCATCAAATTTTTATTATCATATAATTTACGTTTCGATTATCCAAATACAAATCCTGTAATACTTACATTAATAAGAATAAATGAACAACTATCATGTCGACAATTAATTGAACGATTGATATTATTATTCAATCGAAATAGTAAGAATACAGATGAATCTATTCAAAATATTCATCGTTCTTATCTTCTTTTAAGTTGATCCGATTGAACAGAAAACAACTAATTCCGTAATCAAATTTTTCGCTGATTTATTTGATGATCAAAAAAATGCAAGTGATATAATTTTATTTGATTCTGATCGACGTTTAATGGTTGAAATAATAAGTCGAGAATTAACCGATCGTTCTTGTACGGATGGAATAACAACAGCGTATCTTTCATTATTAGAATTAATTTTTCGTAAGAAAACCATCACACATGAAACATGTACACGTTTTGATGAACTTCAACAATCGTTTCAATCGTATCTGTCTACAGAGCATTGTTTGAGTGAAAATCGTTTTATTATAAATGAAATCATTCAACAACATAATTGTTTCTCTTTGATTTGATAAATTCATATATTTTTTTCTTCAACTTTCGTATTTTATTTCTTAATTCGATTCGTAGAATAAATTTTAGATAAATTTATTCATAAATGCCGGAATTAATATTAGATGAAAAACCGAAATCATCGGAACAAATTGATTTAGAGGAAGCCGAAAATGCATTATTAGGGAAAGATTATAAAACTGCAAAAGAATTATTAGAAAAATTGGGTAAGATCTTGAAGATTAAAGATATTATTGTATTATTATTTTTGTTTTAAAAGTTAAATTAGAAGTGAAAGTTGACGATGAAGAATCAATACGAATTAAAGAATCAGCTATGCTTTCACTTGGAAAAGTTTTCAAGGAAACAAAAGATGCTAAAGGTACTGAATGAAACTATTCTTTGATCTGATGATGTTTATAAAATTATTTTAAAGCGTTGGCATCATTAATCAAAACAAATCGTTCATTTCTTGGTCTTGTAAGCAAAGCTAAAGCAGCTAAACTCGTTCGTACACTAGTGGATTTATTTCTTGATATGGAGGCGGGCACTGGTGAAGAGGTAAATTTATTTAAATACTTGCTGGTAATCTTCGATATGTTATGGTTGTTTTTAAAATTTCTTTAGGTTACATTATGTCAAGAAAATATCGAATGGGCAAAAAATGAAAATCGAACATTTCTTCGACAAGAGCTTGAAGTAATTTTTTTAATATGACTTTAAACTAGTGTTGAAATACAAATGATAACCTTACGTTTCATCTATACCAACATCTAGAAAGACAATCAGCGAAAAATTTCAAATATAATTTTTTGATAAATTAAATAAGCGTACATATGCTCAACTTGTCTGGGAAAATGATATGCAATCGGAAACTAAGATTGACATTAAATGAATTTCTAGAGAACGAATATTATTTTGTTTAGCTATTTATTGGAGATTCTGAACGACTTGTTCTTCTTTAAAAATCGAGTAGCTACGTTTTAAGAAAAATTTGTTCAAGACAACTATTTTGCACAATATTTTAATAAAACTATATTCTATAAGATTTTCATAGGATAGTAAACTCATTTTTCTTAATATACCAATATTTTTACTAAAGACTATATGGTTCGAATTGAAATTGAATTATTTAAAGTTCTCAAGTTAAAAAACTGAAGAAAAGCCTCTACTACAGAAAACAAAGTATTTCTCCGTAAAAACAATTTCATTTCTATCTGATCTATATGCAAATACTCACTAGGCAAGTCACAAACAGTAACATATATTGTCGTATCTATACAGTATAAAGTAAAAGAATGATGAAGGTATATTTTCTAAAAATAGAACCTTCTTATCGTGAACAATAGCTTTCAGCGTCGAATATATTGCACTAAATACGCATTTGTTCTAGGCACGTCTCGTAGCTTTATATTTTGATACGAAAAAATACAACGAAGCACTTATACTTGGCTCTCAATTGTTGAAAGAATTAAAAAAACTTGACGATAAACAGCTACTTGTCGAAGTGCAACTATTGGAAAGTAAAACTTATTTTGCTTTAAGTAACATACAAAAATCAAGGTAAGATTTATTTGAAATTGTACATTGAATTCAACTTACTCGATTATACATAGAGCTGCATTAACATCAGCAAGAACAACAGCCAATGGAATCTATACGCCACCAAAACTTCAAGCTAGTCTTGATTTACAATCAGGTTAATAGTTTTTCGTTCATATGATTTCTAATTGAGTATTATCTTTTATTTTTTTTTATAGGAATTCTTCATGGAGCTGAAGATAAAGATTTTAAAACAGCATTTTCATATTTTTATGAAGCATTCGAAGGTTATGATCAAATCAATAATAGTAAAGGTGTTACTGCTCTTAAATATATGCTACTATCAAAAGTTATGATGAATGCGTAAGTTTATTCTTGAACGGTTCATTGATCTATTTGCTATTTTGGTATATCATCCTAAATAAATCGTTTTCAAACACAACCAGATAGAACAAGATCATACTGGGAAAAAAGATCTGTTTGATGAATGACGAGACAAAAGAATGGCGCACACTTTGTGCAGGAGAGATCCAAAATGATCGGGTGTTAAGATATGTAAAGTACAATCTTGATAGTACATTTTTGCATCTTTAACTAACTTAACTGATTTAATCGAGACATAAACTAGTAGAAGAGACTGTTGTCGATGACTGATACGAGCGATGATTAAAATTTCGCCAAGAGAAATTTGTTTTTCTGATATAAAATAACTATAATTTATAACAGAAAGGGTTTACTATGACATTACAACAAATCATTTATTGATCACTATTTTAAGACACATCAATATAGAAGTTATTGTGTGATCGACTCATAGAACGTCGATATGTATTTATCTTGTCTTTTTTCTCCTTCTATTTTTAAACAATAGACCTGATGATGTTAATGCGTTGATGTCGGTAAAACTAGCGTTAAAATATGGTGGTCGAGATGTTGATGCAATGAAAGCAATTGCACAAGCAAGTAAAAAGCGATCATTAGCTGATTTTCAACAGGTCTGTTGTGTAAAGTTTCAAGAGAAACAGCCGTTTATGAATAAATTATATATGTACAGGCCTTGAAAGATTACAATTCAGAATTATCTGAGGATCCGGTTGTTCATTCACATTTGGGAACGTTATATGATAATTTACTTGAACAAAATCTTACTCGTCTTCTCGAACCATTTTCAAATGTTCAAATCGAACATATTGCACGTTTAATTAATTTATCCCAAGTATTTATTATTTTTCAATGTTTATTAAAGAAATGTGATATTAATTATTTTATTTTATTTTTTTGTAGGATATTGTCGAAAAAAAACTATCTCAAATGATTTTAGATAAGAAACTTCATGGCATTCTTGATCAAGGCTCTTCAAATATTGTTATCTTTGATGAAACACCAACAGATACTCAATATCAAGATGCACTTGTTATTGTTCAAAATATGTCAAAAGTGGTTGATACACTCTTTAGTAAAACCAAGAAACTTTCTTAGAATTTTTCATTTTTCGGATGTTTATTTCCTTGCTACTGTTAATTGTTGTTCACATTCAAGCATGAACTAATATTCTTTTTTCTTGTCTTGTTAACTAAAAAGAGACAGTACTGAAATAATTGTCTTTTCTATATACAATATTAACAAAGAAAGTAAGGAAAAACGTCTAGTATGGCAAGTAAACCTGTGTTTAAAACTACTTATGATGATTTTTTCTCAAAACGGCACAATTCAAATTTCGGTAGGATATAAGATGATATAACTATGAACATTAAATGTAATGCATTTAATGTGTGGATATAAATGTTAATACAAAGTCATGAGCGAACATTTATATAGTCTACTTGACTTGATATCTAGCAAGCCTAGTTTTTCAAGTTTCATTCAATAAACAAAATAAATATATTAACAATAAAAAGAATGCTTGCTTTTTTTTTATCAAGGTACACAATTCCTAAATTAAATTAATAACAAAAAACAAAAAAGAAACAACATTGATTAGTGAACATATACGAATGCTTCTTTCCATATTCGATTCTTCGAAATTTCTATGATTCTTATGTTTCATTTTTGATCACTACGTACAAGAAAATTCAAGCAAAACGATTACTTTTTTAAAAATTTATTTTTCTTTGTTTCAAAATTCTTTGCTTCAACTACAGTAATTTTAGTTGCACCGTTTTTTTTAAATGCATATCTTTCTACATGATAATGTTCGATTTTAGAAATAATAATATATAAACGAAGAAAGATTTCTTCAATAATTACAAAGTGATAACCATTGACGTGGCTGATCAAATAATGAAGTGAAGATTTTGGTTCTTTTTTTTTATGCAAATCCATGTTATTGTACTTCATGCAGTATCTAAAGTACAGATTTTTCAGAAAGGAATTTTTTGGGCAAAGTTTGAGATGTTGATTTGAATAGTCTAAATATTCTCTTAGCTATACTACTTATGATACGCGGAATTGTTATTATATTTTGAGCTATAACATTTTTATAGAATTTATTTTACACATGTTAAATTCTTAGTTTTCGTAAATATTTTCGAGCTCTGATTATTTCAGTTTAACTTTCTACAAGTTTATTGATGGGACTATACATAGTGATATGTGCAAGTGCTAATGAACTATGAATATACTTCAATCGAACTGAGAGATTTAGATTTAATATTAGTTTAGATTTTGTTTGCTTTATTAAAATCATAGTAATCGTAAGTTTTCTGTACAAAACTTGCGAACTATTTTACTTAAATTTTTATTTAGGACAACTTTGACTACAATCAGTATTTTTCGGTAAATCAAAAAGAGTTGGATCTTGTTCACCAATTTGCCAAACGTCATAATCAGTAAATTGACGTGGTGTTTTAAAATTCGGTCCTGAATACCGGAGACCATTTCTTAAATTACTAACTTCACTCCAATATTCATGATCATGCGAATACCAATGATCAACCGCTTTTCCGTGAATTTGTTCTACGCCAAGCCATGTTGCACCATTAAGCCAGTGGATTGGTACACCGAAATTTCCTGGCATAGCTATACAACAAAGATTACTAGCTATGATGTAAACGTTGTCAGTAATTAAAATGATGCAACTTGGTTCATCTACAGCCCAGCCATAACAATACCCGAAATGGTCATGTCGTTCTTGACCATGTAAACGTCCGCTACGTGTTTTATTTGTGTACGTATAATAGAAAACACTATGATGAGGATGAGGTTGATTATCTTCATCAAAAGCAGTTACAGTCGCGTCAGTTCTGAAAATATACGTACAATCGACTTATTATGATTTTGTTTTATCATAAAATAAATTTTACTTAAATCCAGTTGGCCATATTGGAAGCGAAGGAGGGTTTTGAGCGTTACTAGCTACAGATACCATGAACACAACAAGACTAATAATTGCTAGCATTATTTTCGTTTTTGCACTAGGCCTTCTTGTTACGAAGTATTTTTTAATACCAAGCAGTATCAGATCTGATGTTGCTTTTATGTAATCATTTTTGTTGTTTGCTTTTATGTAATCGTTTTTGTTGTTGATTTCATGTATATTTATTCAGATGCACTGCCGTGCCCTTTTACATTAAGTAGAATATTGCCACAAGTTTTTTTGTTTTTACAAATGATACATCAACCTTTCATGGGATTAATGGATTTTGTTTTATTGTAAGATTTTAGAAATAAAAGCAACAACGTTATGAATAAAGTATTCTGAATAAAGAAAAATGTGTCGTAAGGTCATTTTCTGGAAAGAAAAAGTAATAAAACAAGAGTCTATCTAATGTCAATGAAATTTTCAAAAAGTTATTACTTAAATCTTTCTGTTCGCATTCTGAGACATTCTATAAATAAAATTTGAACCTAAGGAAATCAATATATTTCAAAATATTAGGAATGCCGCATTTTCTCAGGAGATACATTACTTGTTTGAAGCTCTCTGTCTGTTAAAATAACATTTCAGTGATCTTGAGGAAGGAAATAACAACAAACAAGTTTGATTTGATTCTAGTCTTAAAAGAACATGTAAAATGTACTAGAACCAACAAAATAAGGTCATTCAAAAATAAATTTTACCATAATTATTTTAAATGAATATCGATAGATTTGCAATGTTCTAAATTGAATGATGAGCGTAATGGTCTACAGAAGTACAGTTATACAACGTAGTTCATTATGCAGATATTTTGCTACTAAAGAAATATTCTCGACAAGCACGATGCTACCGAGAACAATTTTGTTTCCATAATTTCGCAATATATGACTGCTTTACGATGATGTTAAAAGATGTGAATGATGTTAATTTTTCTTACAGACATTTTTGCTTTGCCATCGCTAGATGAAAATCTTTATTTATCAAAACTTCGACCGAAAATTCAGCAGAGATTTCATATCTCGGTTTCAAAGTCACCTATTGGGGAAGAACTCAAGTCATATATTGCCAGTCTCACTTAGACTACTCGATACATTTCACATGGATTAAAACGAAGGATCTGTTTTAGGGATTCATTTGTAAAAAAATAAGCATCGATCTTTTTACAAAGAATTTTGTATCGCTTATTAGTTTATAATAGATAATGAAAATGAAATAGTCTTTTTTATTGAAGAAATCGAATCATAGAAAAATCACTATATTTAGTTAAAATTCAATACATCTGCTGCTTTTCAGCTTAATAATTATATACCATTTAAATCTCAACTATTGCCATCCGACAACTACAACTTTGAATAGTTTAATGATTCACTGCAAATTTTTACGGAATAAACGAAGATTTATGCCGTATTTAAAATCGACCAGTAAATTTTACTCTTGCTTTTCGTCATAATTCTCTTCACTCAATTTATTCGTGAAGTTAAAAGGGTTTCCCAGTGTAAAGACTAAAAGTATGAATTTTAAACTCATAGTACATGTACTTTTGACGTATCAGTCATGCTTTGCTATAATACATGATATGTTTCCTTTCTGCATTTCCGGAAGAATAAATTATAAAATATTCAAAGACTGCGTTTCAGAACATATTCAATACAAAAGTCTCAACATGATCTGCAGTAGTATTTGCATTTGGTTCCATCGATACCTAATGAGAAAATTTGCTATTCAAAAGAATAAATTTTGATTGAATAGAATTAATTCTTATCAAATGAATACATTCTAATTAGACAAATAGAGAAAATAATATTATAATACTACGGCACTTTTTCCTTTTGTAAATGGGCCTATATTATTCGTGTGTCTATCATAATACTTACATGTAGCGATATAATTTAAACTTTGCATGCAAGAATTTCTATTTCCTGTTTATATATGCATTATCTTAAAAAAACACAATATATGGTTTAATCAAATTAGACGTAGGGATGTAACAATACCATTTGGAGACACATAAAGATTGCCAATTTTCACAATGAAAATTGGCAATCTTTATGTGTCTCCAAATGGTATTGTTACATCCCTAATTAGAAGCTATTGTCATATAAAAATTACTTTCTATACAGTAGTAATTTCTTTCGGCAAGAACTTACTATGTTCTTTTCTCTTCTCAAGTAATAAAAAATAAGTTTTTCTTATGGAATATTTTTCATGTTTTCTATTTCTAGTATATCCTTCCATGCAGATATATCGAGATTCTAAAACGAGAACTTTAAAATTTCTTGCATAGTATAATAATGATATACTTGTGCTCGCACTTTTAAATATTACTCGCAAATTTTCATAAAAATATTTTCTCTTCAACAGGTTTGCATATAAATTTTTAAAAATTCTAGAAAAATGAATCTATCTTCGGATACGAATAATAATAATAATAATACAAATATTCAACTAAATATTTTAAATACAGAATTTACTCGAAGAATTATTTTTTTGTATTTTTAATAATTTTAATTGTACCATCAATCGTTTGTTCGTTCTGTATACTCTATTTTACAATTCGAAAACAACAAATACGAACTCATCTTAAAAATCATGTAATTCTGTGCATTTTTTTTGTTAATCTCCTGCAGGTAACTAATTTTCTAATCAGTTCATAGCATGTTGAAAGTATTGTTTTTATTGAAGGCAACTTGTGAATTACCGGTAACACTTTCATCGCTTCAGCTTGGCCAAGTACCATTACGTTCTGAGATACTCTGTAAATGTTGGTTCAGTGCAATTAATGCTTTCTGCATGTGTTCACTTCAATTAAATGCTTTTTTATCAATCGAACGTTACTTACTCATATTTCATAGTAGAACTTTACATAGGTATGTCGAAAAAACAAATGATTAAAAACTAATGAAATACATAAAATATGTTTAGATATAAGATCATTTTACATTACATACCAATGATTTTCCTTGTCAACTATTCCATATCTTATTCATTTAGTTTTACAATGTTTTATGCATGTAAAAATAAATTTGATTATAATATGGCGGGATGTCGTAGCGTATGTTATATTTTTGAATCAGCGATAGGAATAATCAATTGGGTTATTTGTATATTTGGGCCATTGTTAATTATAATAATTGCAAATGTCTTTCTTATTGTGCAAGTCTATCAATATAAACGTCAAATGGTACGTAAACATATATGGAAAAAGAAGCATCAAATGCTTCGACAACTTGTATTTGTATCTGGATTAGAATGCATTTCATGGTCACCCGTGAGCTTAATTTCTGGAATCGATATTATTTCAACGACTGAAACTTCTATTGCGCCAGAGTTTAAATGGGTCTCGTTTGGTTTTATTTATCTTGCTATACTTTTTTCTCCGTTAGTGCCGATTATGGTTTTCCCCGAGCTTAAAATTGAAATAACCAAGTGGATTCAAAAACAGTACGCTTTTAACAATAATGGAATTCATCCTATGATGAGAAATTCTTGTGCACTAGAACGTACATGATTCATAAAAAATGATGGTATAAGAATCTAGCATACGTCTATAGAAGTCTCCAGATGTTGTTTAAATATCGACGACACTGAAGCTTTTTATTAAATTTTATAAATAATATGATCATCTTTAGAAGTTTCTTTTATAGTTTATCATGCAACACAAATGCAGTCTAGGGCTTTTATTACAACAGATTTTACTATATATTGGACTGTTGTCTAGTAACATGTTTTATTGGTCTAAAAATTCTTTTTATTTTTCTCTGCTTAATAGTTGATTTGATTGTTTTGTGTTTTCTTTCAACTACCTATCCAATAAAATGTTCATCTATTTTTTCGACGGATGAAAACATTCTCAGGAAGACTTGTCTGATGTTATACATTTCAATGCAATCACGTTTTAAGAGTGCCTCTTGATATAAGAAAGAAAATAATGGATAGCCGCGTCTGAATCAAATCTTCTAGTATTGGAAATCATCACTGATATCTATAGAACACTGGCAAAGATACGCACATATGACTATAATAGAATATTTTCAAGAGTTCTTTAGAAACGAAATTTCAGTTGGTTCCGCAAAATTTTTAAAGCTTTGATGAACATACATGAAAAGCTAAAACAAGCTTTTGAATGTTCGAACAACCGTATTTTCTGATTTTTGTTCAGCTAAAAATTTATATGCTGGATATAAAGAATAATTAGTGCTAATGTATCGCTTTACTCAAGCCACTGTATGAACAAAATTCAAAGTATGAAACGATCAAATTATAACTTCGCAAAAGTAGTATACACGTTTTCAATATTATCAAGATCCACAGTTAAATCCAAACATAGAAACTTGAAATAATAGAAGTCTAAGAAGAGCGAAACAACCAAAGATAGAAAATAAAAACGAAGGAAACAACATTTATTTTCACGGTGGAAAAACAGGATAGAGCAGTTTATTTGGCTGGCAATCGATTCGCCTAAGAAAAAAAGTATCCCTTATTAGAAATGTTTCAATTGATTTATTTTGTCCATGTATATTGTAGCTAAAAAACAGAAATTAATGATTTCACATTTTAGTAGCGAAGGAGCTGTGCGAAAAAAGGTTCGTCTTTATTTGAATTTAGCAGCTTCAATAATAAATATAATGGCAGCTGTAACGATTTGATTAGTTTCACAAGCTTCAATGTATCGTTTTTGAAAGTCTTCACTTTTCTCTTTGGATAAAACACCTTTCGCAACCATAATTTCTCCCATTCCTCGAATTTTAATCCAATCTTTATCTTGACTTGCCAAAAATTCACCGGAATTAAGAAAGCCTATTGGAGTTGTGCTTTTTATCTCGAAATTCACTTTTGGTAACATAAATTGTAGACGAATAGCAGTTCCACCATCGCGTCTATCTGGTATAATAGCATCATATGTTTTTAACATAACTTCATCAGAACTATATATATTATCAGCACCAGCTTCTAATACAATTAATCGGCCATGAACTTTTAATACTCGTCTAATTTCCACTAAAGCTTTTGGAAGATCTACATGTTGAAGTGTAAGATCAGCACGAACAATATCAAAAGTGTCATCATGAAATTCCATTTGAAGAAGATCACCATGGATAAGCTGAATCGATATATTTGATGATAAACGATTCTTTTGATTATCTATTAATTTCTTTGCTTCCTCTATCATGGTTGAATTTTGATCTAAACCGATGATTGCAACAGTTTTTCCTAAACGAATAGCTTCGTCGGCTACTAACATTAAATCAATACCTAAACCACATCCAACATCAAGAATTTTAATTTCTTGTGAATTATCAAACTGATCAAATTTCATAGTTTCAATAAGACGTTGCTTTGCATCAACTAACTCTTTAGATAAACGTTGACGTAATAAATGTTCAACAAGATCAAGTTTTAATCCGGATGCCAGTGTATTTTGATTATCTTTCCATACATTACTAAAATCTTCGGCATCAAGACGTTTATGTTCTGTCATTCTGTGTATTGCAGTGTAAAAATGGCTATGACTACAATGATATTTAAATGTCAGTTTTTATATTGATCTGAAATCCATCAAAACAAAAAGCATGATAACGATAGAGAGGTAAATATTTTATCTATGACGACACGATGACAATAATAAATGGACGTGTATGAAGAACACGTTGGCAGAAGAGAACAAATCGATGTGATTAGTCATTGAAATTCAAGCTAAACTATAGACATACGAGTATTAAAAACGTCTTCTATCTCTGTAGAAAGGTCAAATGCGTTTCTAATGAACAAGTATAGAATTAAAGATTTTTAGGTTGATGTGGTATGTAGAACCAATTTTAAGGTTTCATTTAGTTGGAAAATGGCTATATTTGACTAAAGAAACAATTTCACACGATAAAACAAAATCAGGTTTTCAAAATACGAAATATTACAGCCGGTATGCTGTACAAGTCAGCTGATTACTTACTTGTAGATAGCTTCTCCTCAATGAATCTCTTGAAGAATTTTCAGTTTTCAGAAGTCTTTTGTCTAAATAAGTATAAGCATGAAGGTATGCAAGTGTGTATGAATAATCGATTAATCCTAACTCACATCTTTCTCTGAAAAATATTTTTGAAAAAATAAAATATATTCTTGTTCTATCAAAACATGGTTATTTCCATGAAAACTGTTAGTTTTATTCAAACTTGTTTTAGCATCATGGATATCTCAAAACAGAAGAACCAAGAAAACCTATAAAGGAAAGTCTCACAAGTCACTAGCCCCAAATATGTTTTTTGAAATAAGAAACGGATGATAAGAGAACAATTTCTAGTAGACAAGAAACGCTTTTTTAATCATTTTTTCGTACATTTATATGACGAGAAGCAAGTCATAGGAATGTTAAAGTCATCGTCCGATATAGATTCTTCCTGTGTTCTTCGGCTTCATGCTTGTATCCACAATCTAAACTATTTGCGAGGCAATAGATGAACTCTCAAAGATGAGCAGGTAATTGTGCTGGAATAGTGCATTATGTTGAAATAAAAAAGGATTTGAGTGTTCAGTTTTTCACGTGACAAGAATAGGGCCAAATCACGATTTCTAGTGTTGTAACCTGTAGTACCAGGATTGGATAGAAACAGGTAACCAATAAAAAGATCGATTCTTTTTTGCATGAAGTGTGTGTGCTGATTGATAGAAGCTCTCGTGATACAATTCATTCTACGAGAGAATTATGTTAAAAAAATTAAATCTTAGAATCGTTTGAATAGAGATTATTATTTTTATTTACGTGATCGTCTTTAGCTGTAGGGAATATCGGCAAATTCATCGATATTTCGCTGAGTAAATTCCTAATAGGTCTGCGGTATGGCATTGAACTTCTATATAGCTCATTTGAGAAAAGAATTGAAGTCAACTTTGGATAATCAGCGTTATACAGTAGAGGGCTATGAATCTAATTATGATCCTAGCCGATTTAAAAGAGAACTGTAATATCACCTATGAGTAATGAATACCAATGTCTTGAAGGCAAAACTTATTTTATAATCAATATGTAGAACTAGAACAGTTTTAATCGAAAATTTTCTAAGGAAAAGGGATTTTATTTTTGAAAAAAGTCATATTGGTATGTTTCTGTGGAACAATACTAGCAATTTTGTTTTTATATGGTACTCAGATTTCGTGAAATTCGTTCGCACATAACAGACTCTAAGCATGCTTTCAAGGTAGAACGTCCTTGCTTTTATTAACATTGGTAAGATTTCGCCATCATATCGTATTTTTTTCATAATTGCAGCGAAAAGAAAAATGCATAACAGTGTTGCTTCATGAGTTGCCTTGTGGTAACCAGGTTTTCTTTTCTTTAAACGTGAAATTATGTACAGGTGAGGCCGACGTAACTTTATGTTGCTACTTTCGCTTCGTCAAAGAGAAGTATTTCATTGCCAGTGAATCATTTGTTGTCAATCGTCTGTTGCAGGATTTTATTTGACAGTATTTAAAACAAAACCTGTGTGAACTTTGTTTTTATCGCTTGTAACGCTAAGCATCGTGCACTGTATATATATATAATTTCTTATTGATCAACATTAAAAATAATATTGACTAATGTGCGCACGATAATGAAATATAGATGAAAGCCTTGGAATATTATTAATAACAAGGTTGAATTTATTTCAAGATTTGCTGAATCATAACAACTGATATAGCAGGTAAATAATAATTTTTCTTATAGCAATCGATGTCATTTTCATAAAATTAGGCTTTCCTATGACTAAGAAAATATCTAAAACAACTAAGATCAAAAGTTACCTTCGAGGATTAACAACATAGAATGTCTTCATCGCGTTCGATTATTGATTGACAGAGTATTATTGAACTCAATCGGTTAGCTTTAATATTGCTTTGTTATTTGCAAGATATCGAGGGAAAAAACATGATTTTTTCAATGTTTTCAGCGTCTAATTGTTCCAATGAGGAAAAGGATTTCATAATCAATACGATGCGCATTCGAGTGAATTTTTGCTATAGTCTAAATCAAACAGATCCCAAATGTAAAACTTTGCTTTAATCGGAGCCCTTAGCTTTTGTAGTAGTGAATTTCTGAGTTTATATTAAAAATAAATCAACTCCAAAAATTCTCATCCATATCTATTGAATTTAGCATTATACTGTTGAAAATCTGATTGTTGGATATGAATTTCACTGATAATCAAATAAAGGTTCTTTTGGCAGAAATTATATTCGATTAAAAAACTTGACTTTTTTCGCGATTACAGAGGCCTAAATAATACATGGAAGACGTTGATGTTAACTAAATCATATGTCTGCTTTATGAATTAATATCTTATTGTCTAAGCTATTAGTCGTCTAGCATTCAAGTTCAGAAAACCTCGTAGAAGTCGTATTTTGACTAGGCAGCCTATTCAAATTATGATTTTGATGAATTTATAAAACGCTCTATCTTGACTCGTGCGTGATACATCTCGTTATTTGTTTATACAAAATATGATTCTTCTAAGCATAAAAATCATTCATATTAATACAATCATGTTTATATTCTAGATAAAGCTCATTTGAGTTTAATGTCATTTGATTAAATATAAATATGTTAAGTGAAGAAGATAGCTTGCGACCATATCCAATTGATGCCAAACAGGATGAAGTTGTACGTAAAATTCTACGTGTGAAAGCATATGGGCCTATATCAAGAGTAATATTATTCTTTTCCAATATATCTCAACGTATAACATTTTGCTTGAACGATTACGTCAAAGAAAGAACGAGGAACCGACCAATCGAAAGAAAAGATGCAAATGAAATAATTACTCCATGCGTTTGTAAATCTACTGACGCAATGGATTCAAAATATTTTTATGCAGTTCGCGAAGGTAGAATATGGTTTAAACCGATAGCTGCTCATGAGAATGCTCGTTGGAATTTATTGGCTAATAATGGATATACGAATAAGAAAAAAACGCCGTTAATATCTGTAAGTGCAGATGGTGATAATATTATCGCGGTTGATCAAAATCAAACTATTCATTATGGGAAAACCAACAAAGTTATTTGTCAAGTTTCTTTTATACGTCCACAATGGAGAATACTTCGATCAACTGTGAATTGGAGAGAAAATTGGTTTGGAATGGAAGGTGTTTCTTTACTTGTGAATCTCTTTAAAAATCCAATTTTACGGTCGATTCCAAATGCGAGAAGTATTGCGATATCTCATAAAGGCCCTGATACAATGTATTACACTGATATGAATGGAAAAAAACATCCCGATCCGTATGTCGGTGTAACATCAATCTATATGCTCAATGATGATGGTACACGAATCTTTTTTGCAGATCCATGGTTACACAATAAATTCGAAAATGAATTAACTGGACCAGAAGATGGTCGATTTAAAGCTGAAACATTAGCAGCAAGTGCCTCAACTATAATGGTTATACAACGAGCACGCAATGAATTCGGCCAAGAAATTAATAAAGTATATACACGTTTTGCTGATTTTGATAGTATTGGCTCAAATCCAGCATTAAAAGCAACATATAATAGAAAAAATCGACTAGCAATGATACGTTATATACCATCAGAAGATTGGATTCAGCAACCAAGTATCACTCTTTCTGGAAAGGCTCGTTTAACAAAAAATATAGCGTTACTTCAAATTGGATGGGGACAAAATAATCGACAATTACGTGTTCAAGGTCAAGATACAGATGGTCGAAATGGTTATTATCATAAAAATATTTATGATGCCATATGGACATTTGAAGCCACCGATAATATCTTGATTGAAGAAGAAGAATTTTTATCTGATTCTATTCCTTATTCAGGATTTGAGCAAGGCCCTAAAATAACTGAAGACTACAAAAATGGCATATTAAGACCTCATAATATTAAAAATTTACTAGATATTACGTTAGAAAATTTTTCGAGAAGGGGCCTTAATGAGAGAGGTTTACATACAAAATTAGTGCTTACCTTGGAAAATGATGTTAGATTATCGTTGCCACTCTATGCAAGACGAGGATGGAAAAGTTTAATAGGTATTTCAGGTGAAAATATTTGGAAACTAATAATTCCCGACGAGTATTACAACGACGATAATGTTCTAATCCGAGAAGTTTTACAAAGAATCTTCAGAAACAAACGAAGATGTCCAGTGAATGTTTATGAAAGAGCCGAAGAAATTCGAATTGCAAATGTGTTCGGTAACTGTCATAAATTCGAATTCATCTTTAGAAATAAACAAATTTAGTTATGGGTCTCAGATTGTATCGATTAGGATGCATAGAAGTTTCAACAAATTACAATCATAATTACTAGATATTTGCTCACAATAACAACAATACTGGCATTGCAACGATTCTAAAGACTTAAATTACTTACTTAGCTTATGTGCTTATTTTAGAATAATATTCAAACAATAAATTTACGACATATCTATCAAAGTAAAATGTTAAGCCATAAAAGAAATTACTGTTTCTTATACTAGTAGTACGCACCAGTTTGGTTTTGTGTTGAACCATTCGAAAGATGGATGTCAATGGCCAACATACTATCAATGCTATAATGACATCATGTCCCTGACTGATAATCCGACACTCTTCGAGAATATGTCTTTCAAAACTTGACCTTGATTATATTTATTTCCCTTTTTTTTGCTATTCTTCGTCTTTGTATGTTTTCATTAATCGATAGAAATCTATCTAATTCTTAATTAGCCTTTTCGTATGTATGTTTAGACACTATTGAAACGTTGTATTTTTTATTGTTTTGCTCTATTGATATTCAATGTTGATAAAACTTCCATATTTTTTTCATATATTAGATTTCTCTCGTTGGTATTAAGATTATTCTAGGTATGATCGTAGATTTTTTTTAAATACTATTTTATTTTCTTGTAAATGTTCCTGAGTAACTTTCAAACTATTCCAAGCATTGAATTATTATCATAGGGATTTTTATAATTGTGTTAATTCTTAAATATACTTCTGTGTCATCACTTGTAACGAGTCTTATTCCCATTTCTATCTTTGGCCACAAATTGCTGAAGCGTTGGCCACAGATGCATGCCGCGACACAAGCAAAATGGGAATAAGACTCATTAAGTAGAAAAGAGAGAGTCTGGTTCAATAATTTATCATAGATTTCAAACTGATTGGGTTCACGGTGAATATTTGTTTTTCAAACATTTATTCTTCATTCTGTTTCTGATTTGCCATCCAGAACAGTTCCATGATCAGTGGGATACTTCAAGGATGAAAGCTATAGTATGTGAACACATACATGACTTTAACGTCTATAGCATGGTCGTTTAACAAGGACAATGAATTTATATAGCTCTAATTTATATTGTGACTATTGATTTCATGAATTTTATTAGCTTGTTGTGTAAAGTAAATGTATAGACTATTCGGTAATCCGTTAAAAGGTATATTAAGACTTTTTCATTTATCGTAACTTACAATGTATAATGGCTATTATAAAAAAAAAAGTCTAAAGACATGTGTTTGATGTTGCATTTGTAATTTGAGGCAGACTAACAAACGAAAATAAAAGGAAAATAAGTTGCGTTCAGGTTCAGTCAATTTTATGAATTGATTAAGATGAAATACAGTTTTATTTCGACACAAATGAGTAATTTTCATACAAGAAATTACTCATATGGTAATAAACGGTCTATCTATAGATCTCGAGAAATTTAGATTGAATAACATCTTATGAATTTTACTCAAATGGTAGAATTTGTGTGTGATTGCAGTGAATATGTCATCAAATGAAAACATATGGTCAATATGATCACGGAAATCTAATCATTTCTATTATCGATCGCTTAGTATTCTAATATATTTTCAAGCCCATTGATATGAATTCAACTATACAAGCACACACTATAACAAGCAGTATGTCCATAGTAGTGAGCCTGATAATCTAAAGTCATGTATTTTAAATTCATTAAAGAGCCATGAGCGTATTCATATAAATTTTGATAAAAGGCAGCGCATCCGCTCGTATTTTTAATTACTATCCTGTCTAGACATCAGAAAAGTACATGTTATCTTCTGCATGACGACAAAAGAAATTCGCTTTGAAAACTACCATAATGCGGCATAATGGAAAAATTGGCTGCGCAGAAAAGATATTTTAATTTAACTTTGTCAGATCCCTTACTAGGGTTGAGGATTGGTATAGTTGTAAAGTTTTTATTCAAACCACACTGAAATTCTCACACACTCACACGTACACATATATATTTACCTCGTATGCTCTTTAGTCCGCATTAATTGAACCAACGTATTGAACTGTAATCCACAGTTCGCAGTTATTTTACCATTCATATGCATTCTCCGGACTTATGTTAAATCTGATTACTTGCATTACATGCAAACACTCTCTTAAAATTCTTACCTGGATTATTTTGAATATACAGCTAAACATACATATATAGCATCATGATTTAATAAGGAGTTTAATTTTTATAAAGTACTGAATTATATTATGACTCTTAGTTACACAAAACGCATAGCGTCCTTGTTTAGAGTACCACAACATATCACTGAATCATCCATGACGTAAATATGCCTTTTATTTAATACAATTTAGAATTTAAGAATTATCATAAAAACATCTCAATGTATGTAAAATACCATTGCATATTTTTTTAGGCTGGCGAGTGAAAACAAAAATCATAAGACCTATTATCAAGTTCAACCAAATTTATACACTAACCAAGGTAAAGTACAGGCTTCTAGTATTATTAAACTATATTCCAATAAAAGAATTGATTTGGTTTGATAGAAAAGTCTCTGCCTTTTTTTCTGCAGGAATCATCGTCGTATATTATCGAACGAGTTTTATTCAAGGAACGGAATCGCAGTTCTATTGAAGTGAATATATCATATAATAACAACAGATGATAAACACTATAGCAGAGTTTTAATAATCTGTTTTTAAGACTAAACACTGTAAAATATTGCCAAGCTCGTTAGTAATCAGATGAGAGCACTCATATGCTCTGGAAATGGTGCATATTAGATACCCAAAAATGCATCACAAACCCTGAACGTATGCGTATCAAGTTAGATGAAAAGAAACGCATTCATACGTGTTCGTGAGTATATAGTCTATTTAAATGTCAGAAAAATAAATGTCACTATTTTGAATGATAAAAATATGTTCGCCTCGAAAGCTATTATAAGACGTCTAAAAAACTGCGGCACCACTTTTTTTGGTTCAGCTTCTAATTATATTTTTTTGTCACTGATAGTCCTGATTTCGCTTCTAGAAAAATCAGTAAAATGAGCATATCTTTATGTAAATGTATCGGAATGAAAAAAAATAGAAAATCAATATTTTCTCAAAGTTCACTATTCCTAAAAAAAATGCAACTTCTAAATGAGTGACCTTCAATGGTATCAAATTGAGTATCTGCATAATAATTGCTAATTTGTTTTGTTTCGAATCTCGAAAATATTCCAGAGATTGAAAATAGTAAATAAACAGATCTACAATGTTATCAGAATTATACTAAATAGAAGGCTTGGCTTACTGATTCTTACTCAGAATAAACTAATAAACAAAACAAAAATTGAACAAAAGTCCTTGATCCGAAAATGTGTTTGGACCAGTTTAGCAAAACCTATCAGTCCCGGTCGCGATTTTAATCCCATCGGGACCGGGACCGATACTACTCTCCAATTCTCTAAATGCGCCATCGTACAGAGCATGATTACATAAAAAGAGAATTTCAATCGAATATTAGATTCATTGAATAAAATGGTTCATACAAATACACTTACAGTGTTATAAATCATCATAGAACTAATATTCGTGTGTCTAAACTCTAACGATTTTAGATAGCAGAGATGCCTGTGTTGGTGGTATTACACTTTATTCAACTCTTCAAATCATAAATCGCCTCGATTACATATAAAGCACACGCTTAAATGCTCAACCATTTGAGAGAACGAAGAAGAAGGGTAGATAAAGGCAATAGGTGTGATGAGAATAAATGGCATCATAAGACCAAATGTTATGTATAGGTTACACTCGAACGAGAGCATTACACCCCGGATGGAATTCGGACGCTCTTCGCGTATAATCGTTACATAAACTAATAATATTTATAAAAAATAAAAAAACAAAAAGGATATTCTATTTATGTCATAGGACAAATCGAGCGAAATCTATTCATTGATTTGCATCTTTATTACTATCTCTAATTCTCGAAAGACACTTCATTAAAAGCTCTTTTCAGATCATTGTTCCGGAAATAGTTTACAAAAGGTTGCTTAGATCTTTCTTTTTGTATTTGTTTTCTATAACCAACAAACGTCGGGTTGTTTTGCATGATGCATGATAAGCATGCATCTAGTTTTAAACAAAGTCAGCCCACAGCAAATTAGAAATATCTTTTTTGGCGCAGCGCAATGTGTTAGGAGCATGCTGTTACTCAGTTCATGAAAGAAATTTGTATTTCCTTTGAGAAATTCTTTCATGTCGCACATCGAAATTTACGCAACATTAATCGTAATCGACTTCAACCTATTTCATTATTGACAATTATAAAATCCAACTTTTTGTATGACTTTCACGTTCACTCGATTACTAACATAATTTTCAAATAATGACCTAATAAATAATTATATTTTTAATTCATGCATCTCGTGGTATCGAACTATGCGTGAGTATTCGAGTCCTTTAGTTTGTATTTTACTTGTTGTGTACATCTGAGTAAATCTTTTGTTATAATAAATAGATCCTTTCTTCAGATTATTTGATACATGGTTATATGAACATACGCTTTTTTCTTCATGTTTTACAATACGTGCGATCGTAATATACGTTGTATTTCATTAAATTCAACGTTACTAATAATGACAGTTAAAAATATCTATCAAATAAATTTGTACTTCCGGTTGGATTCTTTCTCAATTCAAATGAAAAATATAATAAATCTATGACATTTGTGAGTTCCGTAAGAATGACAAGAATATTAATGGGAAATGTTTTTTGCCACTTCTCACTTTTGTATTAGTCACATTTTATTTTAAATTATTTCATTGTTCTTTTTGTGTATCAAATCTTTATAATTAATATTTCTATTTGAAAAGAAGGTTCAGTATTATGATAATCAATAAAGCAGGTTGAGTTTCAGTTTTATTTTGACATTAATCAGATAAAAATATGAATTGCCATGATTTTTATTTACAAAGGAAAGCTATTCATCTTTCTTGAATAATATTCATGCAATGTAAAAGATCTATATTAAATCCTATGTCTTTTTTTTCTTTCATAATATTATTGTTAAAGAATAGACATTGAAAGCACAGCTTTTCCATGCTTCAACGATTTACCTGCTAGAAGTTATTCATTATAGAAACTTGCTCTTTTTCTGTTTTTTTTTAAGGTTATTCATGTCAACAACAATCTCACGCTCGTTTCCTTTTCTCTCTTTCAGATTGCAAATCTATTTTATTTCTACTACATATGAGCATCATCTCATTTCCTGAGTCTTTATCGCACAAGTGAAATAAAATCTTGGTCACATTTTGAAATAATTATCTGCGCAGCAGCATACATTATCTATGAAAATATGATTTCTTATGTTTTTAATGAATTCTCGACAACTGAAAAATTGATCCAAACCATTGTAATTAATCTATTTTATTTTAGGAAATAATGTTCAAACAAGTCGTTTTATTTCTCTCACTTATTCAACTAATGCATGGCCTCTCTTTGAGAAGTAACAGTGAGTAGTTTGATTTTATTTTACATTAAAATTGATCATATGAAAAGAGTCATTGTAAGGAAAGAATTCATTTCTTTTTCTTTTCATGTTTAGTTTGGTGGAGTCGACGTAGTGAAAGTTCACTTCCTGACTGTGACGTTGCATTTGATAATGAGAACCCATCACTTGAAGCAAAAATTTGTGGTACAGATTCCTGATTGATAAAAACTTGTTTTTCGTATAGGCTTTCTGAGTTAATATATTTTTCTAGGCTACTGTTTCGCTTCATGTCAACAACAACTAGCTACTTGTCTTCTAGCTCAAATCAAAGAATCTTTAAATGCTTCGCTTGAAGATTGCCAAGAAAAATGTGAACAATGCGAAAAACGATGCCTTACTGACAAACGAACAAGTCGAATAGCTGCAGAAAATTGGGCAAAAGTTGTTGCCGTTTTACGACAATTCAATTCCTACTGGCCAGTCAAAGAAGAGCAAACACAATCAACAGAACCATAAAATCAGAAAATTTTAATTCGATAATTTTTCATTAGACTTGTGTAAACATTTTCTTTATTTCATGCATAAAATAATAAAGAAAACATGCACAGAAAGAATGCAACAGCCCAACGTACAATAAGTATTTTGTTTGAATAAGATAAATTAATAAAACCATGTATCGTCCTTTTTTGAGTATAAATAAATATAAATACAAGAACACAGCAAATAACAATAAGGACGGATTAAAATGAGAACAATAATGTATTTATTCCATATAAAAGTTAATTATGTCATGTTTGGTTTCACTAGAACTCTAGCATAAATTTTTTCCATTGAAACTTTCATAGCAATTGGTAAATCTGACAAGTTATATGTAGGACCCATGACTTCTTCGTATGGATATTTATCAATTGTTTTTAAAAGAAAATCAACAGCTTGATCAAGATGACGTGGCGCATAATTATGAACACCTTTTGAAAGCAGAAGATAAATTTTGCAGAGTAGTTTCTAAATTATTGTTACCTTTGATCGTGAGACATTTACGAATAATCTGTTCACCAGTTATATTTAGTTGAGAATGTGGATGAACCATACCAAGAAAAAGATATAATCCACCTGGTTTCAATAATTTAAGACCATCATTAATAACAGCTGATACTCCGCAAGCCTATTGTGACATAGATTCATCCTTCGTTTTTTGTTTTTTTGTTTTGAAAGAAAAACATACTTCAACAACAACATCAATTTTATTTGTTTCTTCGGCTATTATTTCATCTAGCAGGAAAAAAATAATCAAAATTGAAAAACGTTTTCTTTCTTAAGATTTACTCATTTTACGTACTGCACAGAAATCGGGGATAAAAGATAAATATGACTAATACATGCACAAACTAATTAAATTTCTTTCAGTGATTCACACCGACAAGCTTTTCCATCGAGCAAGAAATCGATTTATATAGATACAAGTTCAAGCACATGCACAAGAAGACGAAAATCTAGCAAAACTAGTGATACAGATATCATAATCATTTATTAATGTATCATACTTCGCCTGTCTAAAAGCATACAAAAAAAGGAGGAATACATATTATAAATCAGTTTTTTGTTGAGTTTATTAAGAGTTCTCCACATTTAAAATAGATTTTCGGACAAGAACATTCAAATCGTATGCAAATCTTCAACGTAATATCATGATGCTTTAATGACGTTTTTCGACAGGCAAGAGTTAAAATCAGATCATTTCATAACACAATATTCTCTGTGGGTGTTCATTCTATTTATTTTAATTGGAATCCTTCTTTCAAAAAGCATGCTGAGCTTCAGGATCTGATTAAGAAATTCTATTGTCGAAGTTCTACTATTTTTGTTTGCGGAGAATTATAATAAGTATATTAATACGATAGTATCTTTTAAAACGCAATAGAAAACTATGTTAGACTCTGCTGATTTACTAATGCATTTTATCAGATCAGAATAAAACCGTCACTGTTGTTTGATATGAGATATCAGTATCACGATAAAAATTGTCATTATAGCTTCTTCGTTATAGTTCCTATGTGTTTCGCTCATATCATAGGATTTGAATGTTCTGTTTCCAATGTTCATTTTGCAGAAAACTCAATTATGATCAATAGAAATATATTTTACCATTGTAAAGTGGAATTGCACCAAAACGAGCTATAAATTCTGACCGTTGAGTATGAGTACCTGAACAATAGACTGTATCATAGCCTAGTTCAAGAAGAGCTGCTGAAGTATATAAGCCAAGAATTCCATCACCCTATGAAAACAAACACGTAAAATAAATTCATTATCGAGCAATATAATTTTTTGTAAATCGAGGTGAATGCAGGTTAGAAGAAAAGCCGTTCGAAATGCAAAATTGCATTTTTAGAGATTCTAGTGTTGATTCGTTTTCAGCATTTCAGTAAAAGACTTGCAGATTAGTATAATTCAAGTCATTCAATTGAACTCATAATCAATGAAAATATTCTCTAGACACAATCTAAAATACGTTATTATTATGAGAAAAGGTCCGATGTATAATAATGATCTTTGCTCCCGCCACCGTGAATATATACGTACATTGTTAACCGCGAACAGAAATATATTTATTAGAGTTTCTTGATTTATAATACCATCATATTCAACACACGGGTTCCATATGAGTGGTGTTGACAGATTTTAAAATATGATTAAGAAGCTTAATGATATGTTTGCTTATGAAAGACATTAAGATAAAGTTGTCAGCACAATTGCTAAAAAGTATGCTTTTTTTAGATATATAAGCCTCTGTTCTAGAAGACATTTAGTTCAACAAACGAACAAAATGCTCATATGGTTACAACTGTAATTTAAAATGTTTTTTTCCATCGCACAGCTTTCTATAGAAATCTCTCGAAATGTAACTATATATATATATGTAGGCTGACAGTTAACTATCATCATATACAAGAGACTGTAACTTTGACTTTAAAAAAAAATGTAATTACTTGAACAAAAGCTCGTCCATTTTTAATTTTTGGTACAAATTCCATAGCACACATAGTTGTTCCTAATGAACAATTAATTGGTGCAGCACATCGATCGGATATGGTGCCAGGTATTTTGACAACATGAGTACCATGTCGAATTATAATATGTGAAGCATAGCAACCATTAAAACCTGAGCCATCACTTAATTTAGCATGACCGTACTACATAATAAATAAATGATGAGAAAAATTCAACAAAAAATGTTAACATACTTTAAATAATTTAGTACATTTTTGCTGTAGTCCCTTTAAACAAAATTCACATTTATTACAAGAATCAGCAATTGAAAATGTTAAACGGTCGCCCTTGATTAAATCACTTTCAGGTCGACGATGAGCAATAACTTCAACAACGGCTTCATGGCCAAGAACACTTGAAAAAGCAGAAAAGAAAAAAAAACGTATATCTTCTTTGTTCTTTCAAATTAATCAATTTACCTCGGTGTTGGTTCTATTCGTTGACCTTTCACTGTATGTACATCACTCATGCAAATCGATGCTAAGCGAACCTTTAGGTAACATTAAATAAAACAAAACAAAAAATTAGAGCTCTCGTATTTCAGCACATACCAAATTACTTTGACAAGAATTTCTCCGGGTGCAAGTTCGGGCAATGGAGTTATTTCTGATGAAAACATTTCTTCTGAATTCAATCCATTAAAAACAATACGTTCACCTAACATCAGACCTGTATCTTGATCGCAACACGTCATTTTTATTTTTTTACTGGCGTTCCGTCGATAGATAGATAGAAATTCGTTCGTCTAATCAATCTATAAAACGTATTAAATTAATAGACGATAGAGGTCATTATTTGAACGATTTCATATTATCAATGGTTTACATATGAACGAATCGAATTAAAAGATAAATCCATCCATCCATTTCCTTGGTTGTTATCCTTCAATGAATCATTCATTCATATCGGCATTGGTTATGCTGATAGAAATATGGACAAAACTACATATTTGAAAATCTATTTTCCAAATGGTTCTTTTCATGCGTTACGATATACACCGTTAACAACTATTGCTGTATGAGAATCTAACAACTAACGATTGAATTGTTTTGTTGTAATTTTTATGTTTTAGGACTTAATTCGAGTAGTTTTAAAGGGTCGTCTTTCACCTTATGAATTATTTTATGCCTCATCATTTGCTCTTCGTATAAAATATGTTGGGACAGAACAGCAAATAGTATTCTCTTCATTCAATAAGAATAATGTTGTGAATAAATGGCTTCATCCGAATATGACCATGGAAAAAGTACAAATATTTTACGGACCTCCTGATGAATTAAAGTAAATCAGATAGTGACCCAGAGCATATCAAAAGTAGTCACAATCTGTGTCTCTAATGGAAATTCTAGACAAATCATACACTTACTTATATATCATTTTACGACTGACTTATATATTTTCGTTATTGAAAAGAAACTCTAGCAGATGCACAATGAGGGATTTACGTTGATGTCAGATCAATAATTTGATTATTCATATATGTCATCGATTCGCTGTAGTATAAAAGATAAAACAGCATGTACCATGAACGTGAATTAACTCGATCAATCTTTTCAATACTAACGAATTCTTAGTTATCATTTGTCAAGTGCTCGAAGAGATCTAGTTTGGTGGTTGGAAAATATTTATTATCTAGTATGAATTTGAATCTAAAAGTCTGATTTTTCTTTTCCACGAAAATCAGAGTTGATTAGTTTGAATTACATTTCGTTGTCATATTGAATATAGAGTATACTTTTGATATGCTCTAAGTAATTAAGAAAATATTTAAGAAAAAAAAACAATTTAGATTTGAACTTCGACTTCGATATTTTCCAACATCTATCGATGCATTTTCTCAAGATAAAGCGACATTTGGCTTTTTCTACGAACAAGTATAAGATGATTTATTTCAAAATACTGTTCTAATTGAATTATTTAGCTTCGTATTGATTATATGCGTTTAAAATCTGAACATGTATCGATCAATGTAGCCATTGAATTAGGTTCACTAGAAATACGCAAACTTTTTAAAGATCTTAATTCAACAGCACTGGATAAAAAAGTTAATATGGATTATCTTGAAAAAGAACTTGGTTTAAGAACATTTTTTCCACAATCACTTATTGATTCACATAAAGTCAGTGATTTTATATTTAAATAAAATGTTTAATATCGATTTTATTCAATAGACCCGGTTTCTACGTAAACATATTAAAGCATGTTTAAAAAAATACGAAGGCTTACCTGAAGAAGAATGCGTTAAAAGATTTTGTTTTCTACTCAAAGATGTTTGGAATTGGGAACAAGAAACGTATACATGTAATCTTGGTGTAAGTAAATATGAATTTATTACAGAAATCTAAATAGGCTCAAGGATAAAACGTGTAGAATAATATTAGTTGATATTCAGAAATTTCTTTTATCAATTTACATTCAGATAAACATTGGAAGTTTGTTTTTAAAAAATGCATGGCCGAAAAGAAAACTGAAATCTGAATAGAAAAATAGTTGAATTAGTTTAATATATTGAAATTTTTATTCTATACATTTTTCTTGGGTTAGGTTGAATGGTCAGTACCAATTACTTTGGTTCTTGGCCCATCCGATGGAATTAGTTATAGAACACAGAATTCTACTGAGGTAAGTTTGTTCAATTGTTATCGTTAAATACTTTTCTCTAAAATTAGTTAACTAAAATGACAACATTTGAAAATGTGTTATCAATATCAACAACAAAAGTGAATTCTGATGATCGTGGTATTTTGAAACTCATGATTGCGGGTTCATCTGAGGTGTGAATTCTATTCTAACTTTTATATGAAAGCAAAAAGTATCATTATTCTTTAGACTTTAACACTTAACTTTCCATCGTTTTCTGAAGCAAACGATATAGCGATTCTTATTGATGCGTATTGTATGTTTATCAATAAAAGTACACATTCAATTTGGCGTTCAATTGTCGATGAGCAAATTTCAATCAGTACAAAAGGGTCATCAGCATCGCATTGTTCATCTTCGTACGGTTCCGATTTTATGCATAATCATCACCGAAGTAAAAGATATATATTCTATTTACATATCATTCATTTAATTTTTGTTGTAGCTAACGATGGTGATGATGATGATGATTCGAATGGAGACTATGCCGATCTTTTATCCTCGGATTATTACATAGATCGTAAACAAATTCAAATGATTGACTTACTCGGTAATGGTCAATTCGGCGAAGTTTACAGAGGCATACTTAAAGTAATGGTTTCATGATTTATTTTTTTAATTGAATTTTATATTATTTTTAATATTAGACTAATCAAAAATTAGAAGTAAATATCGCAATAAAAACATGTAAAATGCAAGATGCAACAACAACAGAAACATTTTTAGATGAAGCATGTAAGAAATAATTTCTTCTCAAATAATTTTAATGTATAGAATATTTAAAAATTGATTCAGTAGCAGTACTCATTAGTGAAAACATTTTTTTATTAGCAAGGAAACACAGTACACTAGTTGCTGATTCAGCAAATATGGATTTTCCATAGAATATTCACAACTAGATTTTGCCATATGCAATCCCATTTCTTAGAATTGTCAGTGTTTAAATAAAGAAAGCTACAACGATTCTATTGTCTCCATATCAAAACTTGCATGAATTAAAAAAAGCTAACGAATGACTTTTGGAGCATCTTGTATACAAATTTCTTTGTTTTTGTTGTGCAGACGTAATGCAACAATTTGATCATCCGCATATCATTAAGTTAATTGGAGTTTGTATTGAACAACCTGTTTTACTTATTATGGAATTATCACGATTAGGCGAGGTTATTTATATGAAATTTGAAAAATGTCTATCGCTTATTATCTTCTTTTGTTTTTAGTTACGTTCGTATTTAGTTGCTAATCGAGCCGATTTTGATTTGATTACATTGATAATCTATTGTGAACAATTAGCTTCAGCCCTCGCTTATCTTGAATCGAAAAAGTTTGTTCATCGGTAAGAAGAACATTTTAAGAAATAAAAGAAAAAACCAAACAATTTCTGTTTAACAGTGATATTGCTGCGCGAAATGTTCTTGTATCAAATCATGAATGCGTAAAATTAGCTGATTTTGGCCTGTCAAGACGATTAACACTTGAAAATTCCTATTATAAAGGTAATTCAAAATCAGAATCCAAGCAAATCTTTAATTTTTAAATTTCTGTTTAGCGTCAAAAGGTAAATTGCCAATAAGATGGATGGCACCCGAATCAATTAATTTTCGTCGTTTTACACACTTATCTGATGTATGGATGTTCGCTGTTTGCATATGGGAGATTTTAACCATGGGTAAAAAACCTTTTCAAAGTATTCCAAATGCAGATGTGATTGATCAAATTGAAAAAGGTATTCGATTACCATTACCTAGTGTTTGTTGTCCGAAATCTTTGTATGATTTAATGAATGACTGTTGGTCATATGAGCCAACGAGTCGACCAAACTTTATTGAAATCGAAGAAAGATTAAAATCAATTTTAAAGGATGAAAAAATGAATATTCGCTTGAAAGTTGAAAATATTCCTTTAACATCATCATTATTGTCGTCGTCGGCGTCGTCGTCAGCGTCAGAAATAACAACACTTGCAAAGCTATTACCTACAAATAATAGTGTACCACCTAAACCAGTTTTACCTAGTAAAAATGGGCTCGTCAGTAGCCAATTACAACGTGAGTAAAACAACGAATCTCATTCGACATATTTTCAATTGTTATTTTTAGTAAACAATAACCAATTAATGACAGAAAAAAGTCAATCTAGTCATCATCCTCAAAATTGTGTCAATACGGAACAGAAAGTATGTCTTCATCATATCGAATAGAATTAAATCAAAACTAACAAAAACAAATTGTATGTAAATGCCATTACGAATCATTTTCTGAGATCACTGAAGCTCCTTTTTGTTCTCCAATCTTTCAAAATGTATCATTTTCAATGTATTGAACTTCCAAAGTCATCAGGTTTGTTTTCAAAAAAGTTACAATAAGGACTTAAAACGCAGTCGCATCATCAAATGCTTTTATTTTCTTGATCAAGATAATCGCTTTATTCGTGTTCTTCAACACATTGCTTACACATCTAAAAGATTTTTGGGAACTGATTGAAAACTAATAGATTACTCAAAAAACGAGATTCTAATCCTTGCACGTTTGCAAGTCGGTAACTAATATGTTAAAAGAGAAAAAAACGACGTAAGATTTCTAACGACGTAACATCGATAATAAAAATGAATATCCAGGGTTTATTTGACTATAAAATTAAAAGTAAACAAAAAACGATAGATCAAAACTGTATGCCTGAGCGAAAAGTAAATTTGCTGCTTTGATGTTTATGTTTTCGTTTGTTATTTTTTTTTGTGTTGTTTATAATGATTTCGTATAAGTCATGAATGACAGTTAACTTACCATCTTGAAAAACATTCTAACTCGTCAAATAATCTCTCCGTCAACTTCCAGATTTGAATGAATATAAAACATCTAAGACAATCAAACACATATTCGTACAAAGATAATTACAAGAATGTGATTTTTCAAAGCATTAAGTGTAGTGATGTGTTTTTCTTGTAATTTGAGACTATCATTGAGAATTGCCAGCTGACATACTAAAATTTGTATTTCTCGATTCAACGGTAAATTTGACGTTTGGCCACTCATGCGCACATCGACCTCTAGCTACAACGATGAAAGAAAATGAAGAACTTTACTTCTGAAGAATATGTCAAAGTATCTGTACTAAAAATAATTGTAATATGAGTTCCACTAATTTCTTTCAAAAATCAGCATATCTTGAAAACAGTAGAAAGATTATTGTCTCATATCGTATGTTTTATTGATAGTTAAAATGTCCAAATGACTATTGTGTACTCTCATCACATACAGTTAAATATCACCTGATAAGTTTCCTTATAATAATAAACTATATACTAGATATAGTTGGCACTTTTACTAAACATCTTTTCTCTTAATCTCAGAAACTCAAACACATTAGGATATTTTATTTTAGTTTTCATCGACTTGTTCAATAGACAATAAAGAATTTCAGGATAAAAATGCAGAATTATTAAAATCCAAGGATGGCAAAGCCGTATCTTCATCATTATTAATTAATTTTTTACATTCTCAAACAAAAAATATTATCAGTGCTGTACTTGTATTAACAAGACAAAATGAAATTGATTATAATAATGGAACAAATTTAAGATATTCTCGTCCACTATCGCCAATAAATGGCAAACAGCAAATGCAATTAGTGAAAAATATTGCTATTGCCGTCCGTGATCTTTTGCAAACAATTGATCGTGCACCTGTTTTTATTAAGGAAATGGTACATCAAGTCTTTTCTTTTTCATGCAATAATTAATGTTAATATGATTCTAAATTTATTTTAGTCTGAACAAAATTATAATCATTTTTCAAGTTTAGTTGTTTCACTAATTGACACAGTTCGGCAACGAAATTATGATAAAATGGGTGAACATGCGGTTGATATTGCGCGTACAGCAAAAGTACTTTTTGATGATATTGCTAAATTAGCCTAGATTTACATTCCTTTGTGTATATGGTTTATGAAAAATGTCTTTCAATAGATTCGTCATAAAACAGTGATAGTCAAGTAAAGTTTAAAAAAATAGATAAATAAAAATTGCCATAAATCTCAGAATACGTCTTTTTTTTCTTCCTATTATTTTCGCAATATGTCCGAGATTCAAGAATCTTTATAAGTGCTTTAACAATCACGATATATAAATAAGTTTGATCTTATGACGAACGGCATACTGACAGTTATCTTATCGAAAGCAACTTTATCGTATTTCACATTTTGATCCCACGGGGATTGCTCCAACAGCTTTAACGTCAGCAAACAGCATTTGAACATAGACAAAATAGTTGTTAACAAAATCTCATCACAGATGGATTCATCGAAAGTTGGCGCTAGCCTTAAATATACATTCGATCTTCTTCGATCGTTAAAAGATCACATTGACGTCGGAATGTCAAAGCTATACTAATTTCGAACAAAATATAACTATATACTTGAAACTTGATTCTACTGTTTTAGGATCCCAAACAAAGATTATTCATACACGGTCATACTAATTCTTATTGTATCCTAAGATGTAAAAATGGTGAATTGAATATATTAGACCGACATATGATCATGACAATTGTAATACACAAGCGAGAACAATGAGATACATAGCTGAAAAAGAAATTAATCCCCGTAAAACTAGTTGTATTCATGATAACATCGATTAGCATTGCTTGAAAAATGTCAGCACAACACAGCCTGATATGATTCTTCGTTTCTGCATGCCAGTTTTTTTTATTAGTGTCGTACTTATGATGAGAAAGACAATGAAGTAAATACGGTTTCAATCAACTCCGATTCTACTCGTGGCAAATTCATATTATAGTAGTCAATTGAATACTGCCTTCTTTTCTTTTACTAGAAGAAAAAAAAGCCATATTGAATGAGTAATACAAGACCGAATCGAGCGACATAGTCGATCTTGGCCTTGGCATTGGTAAGTTTTGATCTGTGTCTTTGAAACATATCCACAGAGCAACTGTGAAGATTGATACTTTCTAAAAGAATTTACATGTCTCGAGAAGAATGTATATTTTTACAGTTTACATAAATGAAACACGGATCATTTCAAACACGAGATACTGTAATGACATGAGAAAGCAACTAAATAAAATAAAAATTTCATCATAACAACTATTGCTCGAACACGCAATCAGTTTTACCAAAGGAGTATTCATAAGATTCGTGCGATTCCCATAAAGATAAATTCTCTGGCAGGCCATATGAGGCTGGATCTACTATTTCTGAGCTCATACATAACAAAAGAAGAAAGAAGGGAAAAAGTGTGAATGACATTTATTTTCGACCGATATGCTTTCATGTTTTCTTATCGGTAAACATCTTTTGCACCAAGAAAACGTTGAACTTTTATCATCAATTTCATTAAGACATAAATAAATTGAAGAGGAATGGATATGTCTTTGAACATGGGAAGTGTTCGCTGATATTCAAATCTCACATTCACATCCTTATAATGCATTTGTATTGCAGCGATTCATTTGTAGTAATTGATGATGGCGAACGAGAAAAGACTAGTGAAGAAAATTCGGAATGGGGAAGCGACTACTATATTCACAAATCTGGGAAATTTTTTTGTTTTAGGAAGATTCCAACAAAAATCTTTCTCAATTTTGTTTGGCATTATCTTGGGAAAAGAAAATTGCTCGAGAAATATACGAGACAGTTGTAAGTTCACTCAAAACTTATATTTCGTTCTGATTATCTCAAATAGATCGATAGAAACGACTCATCTAGTGTAGCTAGGTTAGGGTAGATTGGCTGTTTCCAATCTGAACTTGGAACTCTGTACACATGGACGTGAGCTGTCCATTAGTGTCTTCGTCCACTCGCATTCATAACGATTCATATAAAGATTTAGATAAAATCTGGAATAAAAGATTTCCGAACATATACGTGTTTCATTGGTTCAACTGAGTTGGTTATACGTATGTGATTGCACGTGAAAAAAATGATGAATCAGTGTTTATTCAATCGATTGTGAGACATTTCATTGTACCGATGACCAATACCTGTCGTACATAAATATTTCATTTCAAATGATTGTATAATGTTAAAGCAGACAAGTGTTTTTACTTTTAAATCTAATTATTTGAATGTCTAAACAACGATGAACAAATATCATTTCTTAAGTATGTGGTAAGATCGCGTTCCCTGACAATTTGCTTCGAACAACGATTTTTCAATGCATATGAGACACATTTTTGTGAAAAATAAAGCGACGCAATTTTCGAGCATCTGATCTCAATAATCATTCGTGTCGCTACTGAGATGTATATCTATGACTTCGTAAAATTCATTATTGTATAACTGATGCATATATATTCACAAAATCTATGTTACGACATGTTGTCATTTCAAAGAAACGCACTTGTTAATCATATTCAAAGTCAAAGCATTATCTTTATGGAAGCAAAGCGAGAAAAACTTACGTGTTAAAAAGGAATTATTTTTCGCTCCACTATTTTCCATTAGCTTTTGGATAAGATATCCTTAGCAACTAATCAATAAATCATTCAAACATTTCTCAATGGCAAATGTATTTTCATTATGTAATGATATTGAACAATTTCTTCAGCAAAGTGATAAAAATTCTATAGACCAATTTCTTAATTGGCTTAAATCTCGTTTCAATATTTCTAGTCCTTCAAATATAAGAAAATCTGATAATTATTCTTCAGAAAAATCAATAATTAATTCATCACAAATATTTACGTGTCAATGTGGTCATCGATTTTCATTTCGTTGCACAATTGATAATCTTATTGAAACTTCAGAATTCAATGATGTTGATAAACAATCTAAAGTGAACGGATCAAAACTTCAGAATTCTTCAAAAGATTTTCTATGCAGTCAATGTCAAATACGTTTACATACACACGAGACATTTCTTCATCATTGTTCAATGCATGAAAAAGGCTATTTATTTTGTAAATATTGTTTTCAATTCTATATAAATGATCAAACTAAATTACATGATTGTGAACAACGAAAACTTGATGAATTACAAAGTCTTGAACAACTTATTCCGCCTGATACGATTGAACAACAACAAAGTTCGAATCCCATCAGTAAGATAATCATAAATAATTCCAAGACAAAAATAAATGTGTCTATGATAATTTGTAACTTTTCATAGATTATATCAATGATCACGATAGATCTAGTTCAACACGTACAACTCGTTTTGATCTACCAAAATTAACGGATTCAGTTGTGGAAATTATTCATGCTGATGGCAAACGACAATATCGTTGTCCACTTTGTTTTAATTCATATGTCAATCGATCAGGTCTTAATCGGCATTATATAACACATAGTTCACAAGATATATGGAAAGTTGGTTAGTAGAAATAAAATTTTTTTCCTTGAACAATTCTCATGTGATTATTTATAGAATGTCAATTTTGTGGTAAACGTTATTCACGAAAAGATTCATTAAAACATCATATAAAAACTCAGCATGCACACTTTATCATGTCGAATTTGACATGGACTGAGAAAGATAATGCTCTCTATCATCAGTCGAACGAACAACTATATCAATCGAATAATAAGAATTCATTGGATGGCCAATCGAATTCTTCGTTGTCAAATGAAAAAGAACAAATGGAAAATGATGATATTGTTTTAGTTAATTGAAAGCAAAGTTCTTGTCCCTTTTTTCCCCCTTCTATTCAAATTAAACTATAACTATTCAAATATCAAACATCATGTCCAACTCATCAAAAAGAAAATAACGAGCATTGCTCTTTGAGTGCTAGAGAAAACTTAACATACAACATAATTATTCCATGTTAAATAAAATATTTAGCTAGCAAACTTAGAAATTTCAAAAAAAGCCAGCTAGTGCTGACTCTTATAGACTTGAAGGTTCGAATTTTTCAAGTACTGACGGTGTCTTCAATGCACCTAAGATACAAAATTATAAAATTTATCACTTTTGTTTTTATGAACAGATAAAATCTGTCGATATACTCAAGAATTTCTGTAATAAATAGAATTTCGTTTCAATTTCTCCCCAGATTTGAAAAAAAGAATATTTTACACTTTTCTCTTTGCTGATATTTTAGTTTGTTTTGAAACTTGAAAAAAGCTCTGCTTAATCACGAGAAAAGAAGATTTGAGACTTTTAAAAACACTCAACCCACAGTTTTGACATCTGTTTGATTCATAATTAGATCTGGATGAACACAGGAAAATTTATCATGGACTTACAGAGTTCTTACATGCTTTGTTATATAAGTGCTCGGTAGTAGAAAAAATAGACACAGACGATAAACTTCATCCAATACCTTCAATATACCATATTTCGAAAGAAAAAGAACTAGATATTTAAAATATTCTCTAGTATATGTGCACTATATTTTGTTATACATATATAGGCTAGAAGAGAAAGTGTTGAAACTTACTAACATAATCCGATTTTCATAATTGAAAATTATTGATTTTTTCATGAGATTGCCAATAGGATTTTCGAATATCGTTAATATCATTAAGCTAATACGTCCATATAGATATAATTTTTCATGATTATCTAAACATTATCATCATAAACACAAGGATAGAAAACGGTATGTTTGATAAAGACAAACAATAGGGTTACAATCTTCTTCTTTATTTTCACCTTCTTCTTATTATTACCTTCTCACAAGCAAAATATCACCCTCTTTTTAAAAGTTAACACTCAGTTAAATAGAACAGATACGAGAAGATGAATGGAATGAATCTAAACGTGATAGAATGAAACCGAAAGAGAAAAAGAGAGTACATACTTATGGCAGGACAGATATATCCTGCCATAACAAATATTGATTTAAAAGTCGAGAACTCCTTTTTTTTAACTCGTACGATTTATTTATGTAGTAAAATTTTAAAAATTATAGGGCTCATATGTTTAAAATAAGAGTAATATTTCTGCTACTGTTTGTCGTTGTTAATTAACATTTGTATGTTTACTCTTCTCTCTAGTGTCGTGGAAACAGAAAAGGAACGAGAAACAGAACAAAACGAAAAGAGAAAAAGCAGGCAAAAGTTATTGATTCTAACTGTAAAGAAAAGAAGAAAAAAATTCAAGTGAACAGTAACAATAACAATAGCTTCTTATATGCCTTATTTTTCAATAGCAATTTCTTTTTTCTTCTCATACGATTGTCGAATAGTGTGTATAAGAGATTCAAATCTACAACAATTAGTAATATGACTACTACAAAAATATCGACCAATCCTCAACTATCATCTACATTATGCTCACAATGTAGTTCAATGGCACATTTTAAATGCATTGATCATTGCGATGATGTTTTTTGTGGTAAATGTAGTGTTAAACATCGAACAGCCGTTACTAATCGTATGAATGACTTAGCAAGGCAGCTTAAACTTTGTAAAATTGATCCTATAACAACGCACGATGAAATAGATAATAATTTTATTCGTGCTTCCAATCAAACTATTAAACGCACTCGTGATACTGTAAACAATTTAATTACTGAAATTCAACAACGTGAAAAAACCATAATTAAGGAAATTGAATGTAATTTAGAAGCGAGACAAGAAGAAAGAAAAAAACGTACGGAGTAAGTATGAACTGAGACAAAATAAAAATGATACTAACATATTTTCTTAGTAGTTTATCGTTAATTTAATTAAAAAAAACAACATTTTTGTTTAGTTCTGCATTGTTAACAAGTGAAGAAGCTGTCGATTATACTCTTTTACTCATGAATTGTCTTAAACAAGATCAGTTAATTGATATCGATACTCTTGCTGCTATTCAACGTCGTTTAGAGGCTCGTAGTGCGCTCGGTCAATCTGTATCTGAAGCAAAAACTCCTTTAATTGAATTAGGAAAATTTGAGCCAAATAAACTTCTTCAACTTCGTGCTGCTCCTCGAGCGGAGTCTCCTCAACATAGAACTAGACATAAGAATAAGATTCCAGTAACAATTAGTTTGGATAAATGTAGATTCTTTCAAATTCCATTTGAAGGAACATTCTCTGTTGGCAAACATCCAACAGCTGTATCGTTAAATGATCGTTATCTTGAAACATTCTTTTGTCGTCGTACACCCGGCAATAGTTTAATCTTATTAAGTTCTACAACTATTGATGTTGTTAATCGTGGTTCAGGTGTTGAAATGAGTGTACGATTATCAAAAGTTTTAGGCACAGAAAAAGATAAAATATTAGCTGGTGCTTGGTGTGAATATTCACAACGCCTTATACTTGTTGGAAATCATCGAATGTATTTTTATGATTTACAAGGACAAGAACATGCAAAAAGATTTCGATGCGAACCAAAACATGGAGATCCTGGAAATACACCAAGATTTCTTAATTGTACACACGATGGTTCTATATTCTACGGTATCATTGTTCAAACATCATTATAATTTATTGCTAATATTTTTTCTCTTTCGTTTTTAAGCGTACAAATCTGTTTCAAATTCATATATCATAGAGAAACATGCTTATCCACTTTTATTATCAAAAAACAATGACGATAATGACCAAGAAGATACTACACACTTTTTTCAAACAAAACAAAGTATAAAAATGAATGATCATTTAGCAGCTATGTGCGTTACACATAATCGTATTGCATTAGTCTATCGTAATTTTCCATCTGATAAACTTCTTGAGCATTCTATTTGTTTATTGGATCATGATTTTAAGAATCTCAAATATGAACGCGTATCATTACCATCGGATATTAAATGGATTACAGCAATTGCATCATTCGGTAATGATGATCAATATCTATTATGTGATCCACGTGGTCAACAATTATTATTATATCGTTCAACAGACGGTATATTAACACGTCGATTTCGTATTGGAGCACTAAATGCATGTTGTTTGACAGATGGAAAACTTGTTTTATGGTTACAAAAACAATATGCAAGTTCGCCAACAGGAAAACTTCATTTCATTACAGCTCCACATTTAGAACAACGAACCAATGTATCTAAATCACTTCCATTATTAACTCAAAAATGAGCTCATATACAAATATATATTTAATTATATTTCATTTTTTATGTATTTTTAAAATAATTTTGAAAAGAAAATTTCTTTGAATTATAGACTGAAAAATAAATAAAATTACTTATGCAATATCTAAATAAAATATCAATGGAACTTTAAAAAGAAAAGAAATATATACAAAACAAATTCAGTAGATACTATGGATTACTGCTAAGAATCGCATTTTTTTTCGAATTCAAAAGTGTACTTAAAGTACTTTCGATGTAATGCTTTATATTGAATCTTATGTTACTTTTCAACAAATGCGACATTTGTTTTCTAACATTTTTTGTAACTTCTTTTCGACGACTAGCATAGTCTAATATTGAGAACTGCTCTCATAGTAAACGAGTTTTACTATCCAGATTACTTAGAAGTGTAGTGAGTTCAAGTTGAACCTTAGCAGGTTCTATCGGCTACAATTGTCTTCATAGCCTATTCGTTTTGCTGATCGGATATTATCTATTTAAGGTTTCTTTCAAATGAATTTAGTAAATGTAGACGTTGTTTTATGAATGATTTTTTTATTTTATCGTAATAAGAAAATTATCGAAGTTATGATGTATAAGTTTATGATGTCAAAGTTTATAATGTTTTAGTTATATTGTTAAATATGAACAATTTTTACATTTAATGTGTAAACATTTTCCACTGTCATATTTTTCTGTTGAAGCATCTTGTTCTAAAGTCGTGGTATTTACGTTGAAAATGATCGCATAAGATCGAAAATTTCCTTATTATGATATAACAAAAAAAATCATTCATAAAACAACGTCCACATTTACTAAATTCATTTGAAATTGATAGAAAATCTCATGTAATTTAACTTTCATACAAATTAAGGCTTCTTGTCATGAATTATTTTATCAGCTTTTGTGAAGCACGATCTGAAAGGAGTGTTGAAGTATATAGGGTAGGAATTTGGACCCCACAGACCGCTACAGAGAAATTAATTAATCAACTAATTGATTAATTGATTAATAATTAATTAATTAATTAATCATTATTAAATTTCTCTGTAACGGTCTGTGATGGTTTCTATAGATTTCATGCCTCATAATACAGACCGTGACACAGAAGTTCCACAGACCATCAGTGACCGTGATAGACGAATTCCAGAAAAGAAGCTTCATCGTGTTTCACATTTTAATCCCACAAGGATTGCGCTAACAGTTTTTATGAATTAAATATCTGTCTTTCATACGCGCAATTAGTAAAATCTGAATTTTAATTTCTGTACTAATAGTCTATATACGTATGTTTGTTTACTAATGAACGGATTCAATAAACTTTTTTCCAATTTTATTTTACGTTGTCTTAACAAGCATGATTACCCTGAATACTAAAATAGTTGCTCGAGTTCCGTACCAATCTTGTCGTTTAAAATAAAAAGAATATTTGATTCAAGGTTCAATATTGAATGTTTAAATTTTTAAGAAAATGGCTTCAAGTATTTCTGTCAAATGATTGCATCTAACCCACTAAACACCGTGTAGAATCTAAAATATATCATCTTGCAGTTAGCAGTTTGTTTATTCGTTGACAGACAAAAATTACATTCATTTATAGATTTATTTACCACCATTGCAGTTATCTTTTTTTCATATTGATTGAAATTCAATCATCTTATAATAATTAGTTTTCATTTCATTGGAAACATTCAAATAAAACATATTTTTGGACAGAAATAATTGCTGCATTAAAGACACTTTCAACAACCAACTTTTACGTCAGATAGATAGGAATTGTGGACAATTTTCAACATATACTGAAAGAGAATATACTCCTATTTTGATTTATTAGCAGAAGCATTCGAACTTGAGTTATGGATGAAATGAGTTCTTTTAAATTCATGGTTTTTTAGCACCAACAATGATGATAAGTTTAGTTTGTTGATTAAATGCTTCATTTTTTCAGTGCATCTGAAACGCAAAGATATTTATTCATCCATCCGGTAATCTTCCAAAAACAATATAACTTATAACTACATCTTAAGCAATCAACAATAAATATAATAATATGAATCCTAATGTATTCAATTGAATGGAAGTAAACCGTCAATAGTACTGGAATCAGCATATATATATCACGAACGTGGTTTATAATGACATCGTGTGGGTGCTAAAAGATGGCTTCGGTGAAGCTCAGTTTAAATTTTGGGTTTACAAGCACTTCAAATTGGTCACTGTTGGAGAATTACAAGTTCTGTATGGCAAAAAATCAAATAATCCTGTAATAACTTATGAACAGTTATACGCAACAATTAAAGAATGCCACGAAAGAGTAGGACATCATGGGCGTGATACTGTGCTACAAAAAAGTGCCCATGTAAAGCAGCTAAAGTGCAATATGGTTCACAGTGTCATCCTGCCAAAAAACAGCCTCGTTCAAATATCTAGTTGTTGAATACTTGATAGATCTAACTATATCGAGTACTGTTATCTAATTTAGAAATAATCATATGTTGCTGTTATAGATAATCATTAATATAAAACGTGGATTTCAATCTCTACTATAGGAGAAATAAAAATATTTTCCATAATAAAAGTGTCTAGTAGAATTTAAAATTCTACTATTGGAGAAATTAAAATTTAATTTTCTACTAGTAGAATTTTAATTTCTACTGCAACATATATATGCGGCAGGCGAGTTTGGAATTTAGTTGAGTTTGGAATAGCTTTTTCTTAATTTTTTTTAATAGAATTTTTGTTGAGATCTGCCTTTAGAAAATTTTGTATTGATAATTATTCCTTCCATCTTTTTACAAGGTTTTCATATAAATTCAACTCTCTGTACATTTGTTAAACTATGGGGACATGGGGACATTGAATTTATCTGAGAAAAATAAATTTTGTATTTTTATTTTTCAATGATAAATTCACTCTCTCTGTATTTTTCAAACTATGGGGACATGGGGACATTGAATTTATCTGAGAAAAATAAATTTTTTTATTTATACAACTTTTATAAATCAAATATAAAAATGTACTAAACATCATTGTAATACTATCTGATGATTAATTCAGAGGAGATTAATTATATTATGACTCATACCTGTAGAATTTAAAAAAAAAAATTTTATTATTATTATACATAAAACACAAGGTAATCATTTACCTATAATTTCTTTCATTCATTCGATTCAATTTAATAGTAAAATATTTTTTCCTTTTAAATATATTTTATTTTATGAAACACGAGCAGGGAAAAAAAAAAGAAGAAATTCAAATAATTTTATTTCGCGCATTCCAATCTCAACTGAAATTCTCATGTCAACTGTGACATATATAGAATTAGTGATTAAAAGATCCTTCATTCGGCAGCAACAGAGAAATACGACAAACAAATAATTATTTACTTTTTACGAAACACAATGAGACTATAGCCATATTTACAAGTATTGATTCATTCTAGGTTTCTTAAACTACGTTTTGGTTTTTTTAATTTGAAACACCAACATTTCTGGTCGAGATTTTTAATAATCGATTGTTCAAAGTCAACAAATAATCAGCAATGTTGATACGTTCTGCAATAAAAATCAATGCCTCGATTTTCTGATAGAAATAAAATCTGAAAAATGCTACACGATGATCCAAAAGTTTACTCTATTTATATTCTTGGCAGTTACAGCAGTAAATAAAGGATATGTTCGAACAAGTGGACAGAAGTGAAAGGAGTTTTCAATAAAACTGACTATATCTCTAGATTACTTAAGTGAGATACTAAGAAATGTGATCACGGGTTGCATCCAATCATTATTGTCTCCATTAGTAGCTATAAAAAACGCACTCTCGCCATATTCCTCTACTATTGATAAATACTCAAAGCAGTTTTATTCAAAATCAAAGGGGGAAAGATTCTGAGAAAAAAAATGAGTACGTTTTTGGTTTGAGCAACATCATAAGGGAGTAAACCTGAGAAAAAATCATAAATTTCAACGAGATTGCAGCCCTAAGTTAATCATTCAATGTTATGTTACACTATACCGAGGGCTTGGTCTATTTAATACTCAATTAAACGTCATGAAAGATAGCAATATTTATGGATTTACATCTTCTCAGCTCATTGAGATGCTTATACTTACATACTATATCCATATGTACCACCTAGTGATACCAATGTTGCAATATACACTGTAAAACATCTTTGCGTAGCTTTTAGTCTATTAATTTGATAATTCACAACCAAAAATAAGGCATTCAAGGATTAAGTTTTATCTGTTCGCATTCTACTGGGTATAAGACAATAGCATTCATTATCTCAAATGTGATCTCCTACGACTAACATTCATGGTTTTTATCTAGTAGTAAGGTTCCATAGATTTGAGCACATTGGACCAGCAGAATCATCTCATTGTGTTCAAAAAACTGACATGCATCCAATTCAAAGTCGCTTGTCATGTATGGATGCTTTCCCTCTTAAGTTTATTTTTCATTACATAAATTTAATGATAGATAATAACTAAAAACCATATAAAATGTTTACAAGACGATTCACTGATTTTCACTACGAATAATCAGGAATTTTTCCGAATAGGCAACTTCTTTAAATATTTTATAATGATATCTATGTTTTTCGCTTTTAATCTACAAATACAATTTCACGCGATTTGTTGTTACTTTAAAATCAGCAGGTGTCTTATCCAAAATAAATGTATCATCTTGTGATGTATATTACCTATCTCATTGTATATATTATTTTGTTCAGTGATTCCTCAATAATAAAATTATTTTATAGATTTCTTGATTAGTATTAACTGATGAAAAATCAAAGCTGCAACTTTCTGAAACAGATTAACTCGATCCATCGAACTTAAATTGTTATAGCTGTGGACTTTTTAAAATTTATTTTAGAGCTTGCAGATTTCACTGATATTCTTTTCACGACAAAAATACATTAAAAACGACTTGTCTAACATGAATGGAGTCAAATGATAAATGACATCATATGCAGTCAAGACTTATACAAATAAC